ACTCTCACCACTGAGCCAAACCAGCCGGCGGTTTGTTAGGAATTTAAATGAAATAGCGCCTTTAAGGAACTTAGTGTTGTGGTAATATAACAGAAAATATCACTAACAGTATTAATAGATGTTACTACTCTTGTGTCTGGTTGGAGTTTTTGGGTGGAGGTTTTGATTAATAAGCACATCATTTTCCCAAAACTGAGCTCTGGGAGGGAACAGGACAATGGGGACATAAAGGACCTTGAGCTCTGGGAATCGGGAATCAGCTGAATTTCTTAAAATGTGCCATTTTCTGTGATTGTTGGATGACCATGAAATAGGGACATCCCCTCCTACAGATGGCAGCTTCAGAGCCTGTAAAAATAGACATTCATGAGAACATGTTTCTCCATCTCTTCTAGGCTTGTTTTTCTCATTTCTTCCTCTCTCCCAGGTAGTAGTAATTTTTCTGGTATAATACCTGTAACATGTAAAAGAGGAGTAGGCGAGTCAGTTCTCTCTGAGGGATAGCTCCTGTGGGCTTTTTGTCGATTTGTCTGTTAGATGGTATTGGTCCCCTCCCTGAGCCGGAGGGAGGAAGCGCCGGGCACCAGCGCAGGGCCCGCAGGCTGGTGCAGGAGACAGGCTGCGAGGCACAGTGCTCACTCGGAAGTGGCGTGCTGAGGAAGCAGAGGAAGGGCCCTCAGCCAGCAGGCAGCGGGCGCAGAAGGCCTCCCGGGGGAGGTAACGTCTAGATGTCTGTAAGGCTCGAAAGAGAACTAGAGTGAGACAGGCGGAGGGTATTCCAGACAGTGGGCACAGGCTATGCAAAGTCCCAGAAGCAAGAGAGAGTGTGATTTATTCTAGAACCCCGAGATGTTGGGTGTAGCTGGAGTGTGGCGGAGGCTGGGAGGAGCCCAGGGCCTGGGGAGACCCAGTGAGTTCTGCCTTTATCCTGAGCAGTGTTTGGCAGGCGGGGGGAGGCGGTTGGTGAGAGCAGACACCCAGGTGGGCAGCAGAGAAAAGTGATCTGGCCACTGCTGTGTGGAGAAAGGATGGGGACAGGAGGCTGAGTGAGGAGGCTGGTGCAGGTGTCCTGTCGGTCAGAGAGGGTTAGACGGAGAGAAGGTGGATGAGCGGTGTTGAAGAGGTTACATGGCTGAGCTGGAGGGAGAGAGGGGAGCCAGGGATGGCTGCTGGTTCTGAACTTGGGCAGCAGGGTGGGCATCATGCTACACCCTGGGGGGACATGGAGGAAGGAGTGGATATGGGGGAAAGACAAGCTGGTTCCCTTTGGGTCACAGCAAACAGGATGCCAGACATCTGACGGAGACTTTGAACATGAGCAGTGTTGAGAACACAGGTGTGCGGAGACCGCCAAAGGAGGAGAATCACCCTCCACCAGGACAGGGTCAGGGTCTCAAGGACTCCAGATGGCGTGGGGGCAGGGACATGGTACAAGACACCTAGAAGATCAGCCAGAGATAGGAGAACAATCAAGAGGCGAGATTGTCGAAAAGAACCGAGTCAACAGTGTGACAGGATGGTCTTAGTTAAGCAGGTGGGAAGCCCGGTTGCGGGCTTTGATCTGAAGGTGACCCCAGAGAGCGTAGGGTCAGGATGCAGTGGGACAGCGAGAGTTAATGCAGGAGGGATGGAGACAGGGGTTTTCCAGCGCCAGGGACTCTCTGGTCTAGATTCTTGGGGTTGCAAGTAACAGAAATAACTCCGTGTAGCGTAAGCCGCAAAGGAAATCCATCAGCGTGGGTGACGGAAAAGTCTGGGGTTGCAGAGGGCAGCAGCCGGCCAGTAGGCAGAGAAGCGAACTATCCATGGACAGTGATGAAGTTGGAAGAGTGGAGATGGGCGTTTTTGATGCCGAAGAAGAACAGTAATAGCCATCACCACGGAGGGCTGCTCCAGGCCAGACGCGGAGGGTGGGGCCCTGCCTTACTTGCTGAGTCAGTGCTTCCACCCAGCCGGGTGAGGGGAACTCTAGAGCGGAGAGTCCAGGGTGGGTGTTGGATTTCAGAGGCCCACAGCATTTTCATGGTGAGCTATATTTTTGCCCTTTTCTGGAACTTTTCTGCTTCTGAGATGACAGATTTTTTACTTAAAACCAGAGTTGTTTTCTGCTCTGCTGGGTGCTGTAAATATTTTCATCCCAAATTACTAAAAGTTGCTTTTTGACTGGTCACAAGGTTTCAGAAAGAAAAATTTCCTTTCCTGTGAAACGTGGTTTTTGCAAAGCACCCGGAGGCTTCACCATGCTGCACGCTAGCTCAGGAGGTTTCCATCTGCCAGGTGAGGTGTTTCGGGGGAAGTTATGGCCCGTCGCTACCCTTGGCCAGCCCTGGGAACCAAGTGATGGAGGGTCCAGCCTGAGACAAGCCGAAGCGGGACGTGAGAGACAGGGTACCAGTACTCTCGGCCAACAGGCACTGGGTGGACTTCTTTTTTAAGTCAGGCGTCACATGAGACTCTGTGGACACCAACTCTGCCTCCACAGAGCTTCAGTGCTAGTGTGGAAAGAGAAGTAATAAATAAGCAGCTGCCCCAAAAGATTTCTAGTTGGAAACTGTGATAAGGGCTCTCAAAGGAAAAGTAAAGGATCTATAAAGAGAGGTTATAAAATTAAGAAGGGGTCTGATTTACATTTTAGGAGTCAAGGAAGGGACATTTCACTTGAGGCTTCAAACGTGAGTAAGAGTGAGTCCAACTCGGGGCAGGGAGACGAGCGTCCAGCTCTGACTTGAAATGTAGTCTAAAGGTAGCGCCAACAAAATGTACTGTGAGGCAAATATTGAGAGTGAGAGAAAGAAGAATCCAGAGTGAGGCCAAGGTTACTGGCCTGAGGAAACGCCGACAACTGAGTTGGGGGAGGTTGGGGTGATGAATGAATAATTCTATCTTGGACGTGCAAGGTTTAAGAGAGCTGTTAGATAACTAAGGGTGATGTCCTGTCAACAACCGGTATTCGTGTCTGGAGTTCAGGTGAAAGACTGGGACTGGAGATAGTATTAACACATCGTCAACGCAGAGAGGCATATAAAGCCATGCTGCTGAATGAGATCCTAAGAACTTAGTACGGAGACGGAGACGAGAGAATTTGTCTCCTCCCAGCCCTGAGAATTCGAATATTTAAATGTAAGATCTTCCTCTGAATCTAAAGGGGTCCAGCAAGAGAGACTGGCGAGAAGCAACCTTTGAGGCAGGAGCAAAACCAGGAGAATGTAGACTCCCAGAAGCCAATGAAGGAGTGTTTGAAGAGGAGTGAGCTATTGTGTTCAGTGCTGCTGAGCCCAGTACGTGCTGATGTCCTCAGTGACATATATAGACCTACTGCATTCATTTTAACCGCTGTATAGTATTCCATCACACAAATGGAGATTTCATTTCCCCATCTCCCACCATTTAGGTGAGCATTTGCAGTGAACATTCTTGAGCATGTCACTGATTTGAGCCCATATGGGCGAGTTTTTTGGGGGGAGCCCACCTGGAGATGGAATCAGTAGATCATTAAGAAAGATGTGTACAACTTTGTCTTGACAAAACATATTGCTCCACAGTGTCATATTGCTTCCAAAAATGGTGTCACTGACCGTTCTTATCTTCAATGTTCAACAGACCCCTTTGTTTCACGCCTTCACCAACATTTGCTGTTTTAGACTTTAAAGTCCTGCCAATCTGAGGAGTGAAAAGGTGTGATTGTTGCTTCATCTTGCATTTTCCTGAGTACTAGTGAAGTTGAATGTCATTGCCATCTGGGTTTTCTCCTAAGTGACCTGCTTGTTAATATCCACTACCTAGTTTCCCATGGGGTTCTCTTTTTTCGGTAAGATTACTTTAAATATTCTAGATGCTAAATCTGTGTCTGTATATTGCAGATGTTTACTCCTAAACTGTGTGTGTCTTAACTTTGTAGGGGGGGGCTCTGTGTGATAGCAAAGCTGTCAGTTTTGATGAATCTCTCCATTTCTGTGTGTCTTGTGTCTTCTTCAAGCAATCTTTGCCTGCGTTGAGGTCATGAAGATACTTGTCTGTATTTGGTTCTAAGACTTTCACTGTTTTTTAAAAATACATTTATATATGTTAATGCTAATGCTCTGAAATTTATTCTGTGTGTGGCGTGAGGTAGGGGTCTTTCATTTATTTATTTTTCTATTGGGAAAGCCGGTTGTCCTAACCTCGCCACCTTATATGTTAATGCTAATGCCTCTGAAATTTATTCTGTGTGTGGCGTGAGGTAGGGGTCTTTCATTTATTTATTTTTCTATTGGGAAAGCCGGTTGTCCTAACCTCGCCACCTGTCCCGCTGATCTGGACGGCCACCACCGTCACATCCAGGTTCCCACAGGGCCCTGAGTCTGCTTTGGGCTCTTCTCTCCTCCTGTTCCACCGACCATATTGCCTGTGCTTGTACCCACACCTGAAAGTGTTCATTATCGAACTTTATAAAACATATGTTCTCTGGGCAAAGAGGGGAGGATTATTTGCTTTTTGCTTTGAAGGCATTGGTCTCTAAACGGTCGTCCGTAGTGTATCTAAAACAGCACTGGCTGAACCTAGGAAAACATCCATTTGCTGCTCACCTCTCAAGGACTGATCTGCAGCAGAGAGAGGAGAGAGGGGCCTTCACTTTTCTGTGGTACTCTGGGTACTTTTACTTTTGCCTCCCCCCGCCCTCACCTCCGCGTTCTCAGGTTGTGATGTCTTTGAACCATGCGGTGCTTCTTCAGGTCTTTACACGTGGGCCTGTGATGGGTATTTTGTAACTGAGTCGTAGTACCGATTCCCTTGTTACTGCCACCCAGACCACGGTGACAGGCCTTCTGGGCTCTGACATTTCCTGTTGGCTCACTGGCACTGACAACCTGGATTCCAAAAATAAAAGCACAAGAAACCACCGTGACCTGACCTCACAGTCTGCGCCCGATCAGCGCTCTGAGCTCTGGGGCCGTCTTCAGCCCCAGGCCCAGCCCAGCTGGAGCCCTGCGCCCTGCTCACTCTCTGTCCCCTCCCTTCAGACAGTCACCCGCCGGGCCAAGGTGCCTTCTGCACAGAGGATGAGCAGGTTCCTGAAGCACTTCACCGTTGTTGGGGACGATTACCACGCCTGGAATATCAACTACAAGAAATGGGAGAATGAAGAGGAGGAGGAGGAGGAAGAGGAGGAGAAAGGGGACCAGCCACCGCCAACACCAGCCTCGGGCGAGGAGGGCAGAGCTGCCGACCCCACTGAGGCTCCTGCCACCGCACCCAGGCGCACCCGGGACTTCAGGGCCACGTTGAGGAAGCTCTTCAGCTCCCACAGGTTTCAGGTAGGTGGGCAGAGGCCCGAGAGGCCCGGGGTGGGGCGAGGCCGTCAGCTGAGAGTCACGAGGCGGGGGTGGGAGCCCACCTCTGCCACTACCTCATTCATTGTGCAGATGTCCCCTGAGCACCAACCATGTGCCAGGCGCCTACACAGCACTGGGTGCTCACGGCAGGTCCCATGTTGTCAGGGATTAAATCATAACCCAAACGTCCATCGTCTGATGATGGGATAGACAAAATGCGGTCTGTCCATGCTCAGCCATGCACAGCCATGCACAGCCATGCACAGCCATGCACCAAGCACTGGCTACAGCGTGGATGAACCTTGACAACATGATGCTGAGCAAGAGCAGCCAGACACAAAAGACCATATATTGTGTGATTGCACTTACGTGAAATGTCTAGAATAAGCAAATCCATAGACACAGAAAGCAGATTGCTGGTGGCCACGGGTTGGAGGGAGGAAAGAGTGAGCAGTGACCTGCGTGGATACAGGACCCCCTCTGGGCTGACGGAAATGTTCTGGAACTACGTAGGAGGGACGGTTCCACAATCTCGGGAATATACTTAAGGGTACTGAACTTTATGCCAACTTTGAAATGGTTAAAATGGTAAGTTTTATGTTATGCGAAGTTTACCACACACACTCACCAAGTAAATTAAAGGGTAAACACTGGAGGCAGGAAAAAGGTTCCTGTGTTTATTCAGCAAATGTGGCGTGCCCGGCCTGCGTTGACCAGGCCAGCAGGGTCCCGTGCCTCGTTGACTCATCGCCATGGGGGCCGCAGTCTCTTTTTTTGTGGAGTGATGCCAAAAATATCAGCTGGGCTTAACACATCACCAACTTCCAGATGTGGGGATGGGGAGGACATGAGGGAGACATGGACGCCAAAGCATCTTCTGATTTTGAAGGATAAATGAAGGTTGAGTCTGGCCAGCCCTCTGAACCCCACCCCCAGCCCTCAGATGGGCAGGCAGGTGTCCCGGTGTCTGAGTCCCAGGAGAATGCGGAGGCCTAGGGACGTGGTCAGCACAGCTGCCAAGGGGAGCCCTTTTGGGGACCCTGGACCGAGATAATCCAGTTCCTACCAAGAGCTGGTCACCCTTCTGGAAGCAGAGAGAAGCAGCCCTTGCCTCTCCCATCACTGACTTTGTTCCGGGGTTAAATAGGGAAGATTTATTTTGGTCTTTTCCGCTTGCACGTGGCTTGGAAGAAGAATGCGGGCCCAGCGGCCCGGCACAGTGTTTCCCTCTGCGCGGTGACAGGAACGGAAACGTGGTATTAAGTTGTTGGGGTTGAAATACCAAACCCTCAATTTCAGGAGCAGAAGGAAAGGACCAGCTTCCTTCCAGCTGCAAGGGGAGGCCTGGGTCACCCCCCTCTGGGAGGTTCACCCCTCTCCTGACTCAGCCCACCAGACCACATGGCTCGGGCTGGCCCCCTGAGCTGGGACCCCCCGAGACACTTGTACTGGGGAAAAAGAAGACTGACTGTCATAAAATAAGTAGAGATGTTTATTCATTCACTCAATAATTCTGTTTGTTTGTTTTTTTAATCCTCACCCAAGGATATTTTTCTATTGATTTTTACATAGAGTGGAAGGGAGGGAGGGGGAGAGAGAAATATTGATGGCAGAGAGACACATTGATTGGTTGCCTCCTGCACAACCCTGACCAGGGCCGGGGATCAAACCTGCAACCCAGGCACGTACCCTTGACCAGGAATCGAACCCAAGACCTTCCGTCTGTGGGCCAGTGCTCTAACTGATGAGCCAAACTGGCCAGGGCAACAGTCGTTGCTTAGCACTGTGTGCAGGGGGCACAGCGTGAACATGGCAGACACGCCCCTGCCTTACTCACAGAGGATCCACGCTCAGCAGAGGCCGTCATTCCAGGGATCGCCCAGACGGGTGCTGGTGGCAAGTGGAGAGAAGCCCTCTGCACAGAGGGGGGTCCAGAGTTCCTGGGGGCAGGGCAGAGGACTGGTGGTGGAGGAAGTAACATTCCCCCTAACACCTGAAGGCTGGGCAGGAGTGAGCTCTGTGGATGGGAGACGGAGGAGCCTTCCAAGCAGCCCAGCTTGTTGCTGAGGGCCCGAGGGGGGAAAGGGAGGATCTGCAGCCTTTCAGGACTTGAGAAGGGTCCATGAGAAGTGTATGTGGTGCCCTGGCCGGTTTGGCTCAGCGGTTGAAGCGTTGGCCTGTGGTCCAGAGAGACCCGGGTTCGGTTCCCGCTAAGAGCACGTACCTCGGTTGCAGTTTGTCCCCGGCCCCTCATGGGTCGTGCGGGTGGCAGCCACTCGATATGTCCCTTTTCCATCAATGTTTCTCTCTCGCTCTCGCTCTTCCTCTCTCTCCCTCCCGCTCTATCTGAACAAAACATGGAAAAATGTCCTCGGGTGAGGATAAAAAAAAAAAAGTAGTAGTACGTATGGTGAGAAGAGGGACCTCTTGGCAAGAGAGTAGGCACTGGAGGGTCCTCATCCCTGGGCAGTGGGCAGCCATGGAAGGTTCTGAATGTGGGTGGGAAGGGCTACATGACCAGATTTGGAGAGAGGCTCAGAATAGAAGCAGGGAGGCCCCCTTGGAGCAGGGTATATAGCGTCAGGTTCAGGGGTTTGATCTCTGCTGGTAGGATCAGCATGCAAGAAGATTCTGGAATCCCTTTCTTAGATGCAGTCTACACTTGTTCCATAGGGTTTGAGGTGGCCAGGGTGGCGTGATGTATAGTTAGTTACCTGCTGTCACTTCTCACATGGGATGGCACAACCAAGGGAGAAAATACAGGGTGTGTCGGGCCTCCATGAAAACCATGGACAGACGGGATAGCTGAGCCAGGGTTAGGACCATAGTCATGAAGGTTGAGGCTTCACTTGGCTCCCATGGTCACTCTGACATGGAAAATGTGACCAACCCCATTTCCCCAGGAGGACACGGAAGCTCAGAGTTAATGCCAAGGCTCAGCGGTGTGGAGAGCTGTGACCAAGGTCCAGGCTAATGGGATAGCTGGGAGCTGGCCCAGGACTGGCCACCCCACAGCCCTGGCATGGCCTCTGCTGATGGTGTGGTCATCTTTGCCAGGCGAGGGATTGGAATTAACCAGCCTCCCTGAATTCTCAGAATGTTTCTGCGTGTGTGACTCCCCTCGAAATAGTACTGCCTTGTGAACTGGCAAATTCATGGTTTTGGGGATTCGTTCGGAGAGGCCAGGGTGGGGACCCAGGCATTGTATGTAGTTTTATGACCTCGGGTCTCTCTGTCTCTCTTTTTAGCAGTGAGTTAACATCAAGTTAATTGCTTCAAAGTAAATAATTCAGTGGCATTTATTTGGTACATTCACCATATTGTACAACCATCACCACTAATTCCAAATGTTTTCATCACCCCAAAAGGAGATTCCGTGCCCATGAAACAATAACTTCCCGGCCCCTGACAACCACCAATCTGCACACTTCCTGTGTCTATAGATTTGTCTGGACACCTCATATAAATGGAATCATATAGTACATATTGTCTTTTGTGTCTGGCTTTCCCTTTAGCATAATATTGTCTAGGCTCAACCATTTTGTAGCATGTGTCAGTACTTCATTTCTTCTCAAGGCTGAACATTCGGTCTGTTTTTACCATTTCTGTGCCTTGATTTTCTATCAGATCCCCTGAGCTCTAAAATAAAACCAAGGGTGAAGGAAGAAAAGGAAAAAAACCACCAAAAGCTTGAATCGTTATTAAGCTGCTGAATTTGAGTATGCGTGAAAAAGTCATTGAAAAGCACTTTGCCATGCAATTTCACACAAAACCATACCATCAAATCATTTAATTACTGAAGTAATTAGCGACAGGTGGAAATGGTCAAAGATGTACAGTCCGTTCTTACGTAGGGCTGAACTTGGAGAATTTCATCCTGAAACTTAAGAAACTGCCAAGATAATGGCAAGATGAAGTCTCAGAGGCCAAAATCTATGTACCTGAGAATACAAGAGGCAAGGCCCTGAGGCACACAAGTGGTGGTCCACAATTTCCAAAGGAAGAGAGTCCCACAGTGTCCTCTGGTGTTCCTCCCATCGCTGCCATTTCTGTCCCCATGGTCTCCCTGAGCACCATCACCCCCGCCCCGCCATTAGTGCCCTGCTCCAAGTCATCACCACCTCCATCACCATGACCACCACCATCGCTGAGATCACCCATTCACTCCACCCTGGTTCCCATTGCCCTCCTCGGCCAGCAGGTCAGGACACTGTCTTTCCCACAACTCTTCTCAGTTCGCCTGAGTGGCCACAGGTGTGTCACGACTCTGGGCCAGGCTGTTAATGGGCACAGTAGGCATCACGGTAACCCAACTGCCTGAGGTCGGTGGTCCCTGGAGTTTCCTTCCAGCGCTCAGAGCTTGGAGGCTGGATGCTTTTCATTATTTACCGGGCATCTGTTCTGGGCTTACCCTATAGCCAGAAAAATAAAAACGTGTCAAAACTTTTGTTGTTGTTTTTATCCTCACTTGAGGACTTTTTTTATTTTTATTTTTATTTTTTTTGCATTTATCTTCTGATAGAGCGGGAAGGAGAGAGAGAGGGGGAGAGAGAGACATTGACTGGCTGCCACTCACATGACCCCATGGGGTCGGGGACAAACTGCACCGAGGTACATGCCCCCAACGGGAACTGAACCCGGACTCTCCGGTCCACTGGCCGACGCTCTAATGAGCCAAACCGGCCAGGGCCAGAACGTTCTTATTATCATCATTATTATTTTATTTTTGCCATCTAGGAATTAGCAGTTTGGTTTGAGAGACGCTGGGAAGCAGTGAGTAAGAAAAAGACAAGTAGGGACGGAGGGTCCGTGAGCTGGCTGACGTGCCCTGGCACAGGCGCTGCGCAGCCAATCGGCCAGGAAGGCGGCCCCCAGCGGGCTCCCTGCAGGGTGCTCGGGCTGTGGCCAGCAGCCTCCCATCCTTGGCATTGGTCCTTAGTGGTCTCATCCAGATGCTCCCAAACCAGCCCTTGAGAAACGGAAGGCGGGTCTCCATTCGGGTCTCATGGTCCACAGGTCATCATCATCTGCCTGGTGGTGCTGGATTCCCTCCTGGTGCTGGCCGAGCTCCTTCTGGACCTGAGGATCATCAAGTCTGACCAGAACAACTACGCCACCCAGGTAGTGTGTCCACAGCCCTTTGCCACGGTTCACTGCTGTTCTCTGCCCTCAAGGGGGGCGGGGGGGGCAGGGGGCACCTGCCCTGCGGCCTCAGGAGAGTAGTTTGGTGCTTTTAGTCCAAGAGCAGAGGACATATCTTCCCTTCCAAATGACACGAGCGTTTACTACAGGCAGGAAAGCTCCTTTCACTCGACGGCTACCCTGCACCTCTAGGCGGGGGCACGTCTGATTCCAGAGGGGTATCCCCCCGGGACGACGCCTTCTCATCCCCTAGAGCGGCGGTTCTCCACCTTCCTGAGGCCGCAGCCCTTTCAAACAGCTCCTCATGTTGTGGTGACCCCCGACCATAAAATCATTTTCACTGCTACTTCAGAACTGTGATTCTGCTAGTTTGTTATGAATCGCCATCGGAAATGTGTGTTTTCTGATGGTCTTGGGCAACCTGTGAAAGGGCAGTTCAACCCCCAAGGGGTCGCGACCCACAGGTTGAGAGCCCCTGCCCTAGAGGCAGACATACTATTTCTCCCACAGAATTCTGATGGGGTCCCTAGGTGGGGGCCCCGGGGGGTGTGCCACTGTTGACTCCCTGATGCACACTCCTGCTGAGTCCCTCCCAGACGTTCTCCCAAGAGGCACTGGATGCCCCAAAACACACCACGTGTGGCCCGTTGTCAGTAACATGGGAGACAGCCAAGGGCTGAAATCATTTCCCAACACACTTTCTTAAAAACAAAATCCAGCTGATAACGCGAACACGTCCTTTCGGGTGTAAAAGGGAAGAAAATAAAGGTCCTTCCCACACGGGCCCCTTTCCCCAGGCAGCCGGTACGCTGCTCTGCCGCCAGCCCTAGTCCTTCCCCACGCGGAGGGACTTCCTCTCGTTTCCTAACATACCTGCAAACTCGCTGTGCCTTTCTTTTCCCTCAACTGTCTATTACGAAAAAATGGCAAATATACATTTTGCTATATTTGCTTTATAACTCTACATATCCACAAACACCCACACATTATTGTCTGACCGTCTGAAAGTAAGTTAGACATCACGACACTTCACCCTAAATACCTTGATATGCATAAGAATAAGGCCTTTCTCCTGTTGAACCATAGCAGCATTATCACACTTTAAAAATGATCAACAATTCCATAATGTCTAATAACCAGTTAGCATCTACTGATGAGCACTGGCGGGTCAGTGAATACGCTGGGGGGTGCAGACTGGTGGTTCTGAGTGCTCTTTCCTTCTACGTCGTGTAGTTGGTATTTATAAAGAAGAGGGTTCCTTTCGCTCCGTGTGTGCGCACGCACCACTCACTGTGGACTCACGGATTTCTGTGTGTGTGTATGCAGTGTATTGGCCACTATGAGCCTCTTCGAGTGGGCTGCTGTGTCCTTTCGACATGACTCCAAAGCATGTCCTTGCTTTCAGGCCCAAGGTGATGTCCCAGCTGAACTTTCCCCGCCCCAGAATGGAAATGGTTTCTTCAGTGAGACCGATATTTGTCAGTCAGGATCTGGGAATTCTTCACTCACCATCTACCTGGGTGATCACTTCTAGTCAGTCCTTATGGATCAGCCTTGGTCTTTTTAACAACTGCCCTCTAATGGGTATTTCAGTTTCTCTACAAACCATGTAGAAAATCTTTTGTTTTGTAGATGATGCTGCAGTAAATATGCTTACATGTCTTTGTGCATAGACAAAGCTGTAAGTTCCTAGCAGTGACACTGTTACCGGGCTGAGGGGTCCGCTTGCCTGCACACATCAAAGCCCAGTAAGACACAAACAAGGGTCTGCAGCCAAGAAAGTAAGGATTTATTAAGGAGGTGGCATCATGCCTGGAGTCACAGGTGAGCTGCTGCTCACAGACCTGGTCCTCCATGGCTTCCAGGGAATGGACTTTATGGGGGAAAAGCATTAATCATGGTGACTACAGGAGTTAGGGTCATGGTCTCTAGTGATTAGTTGGCGCTAGGGTAGGAGGGTAGTTATCACTGTATCTGCTCCTGCCCGATGTCAGCCATGGAGTCGTCCTGATTTTGCAAGGGTGTGTTTGGTAGGATCATTCATTTTCCTGGGTCCGCAGCTAAAACACAACAGAAGCCAAGAAGCTATCTTTAGTTTGACTGAAAATGGTCTCTGTAGTCCACACACCCAGGACCTTGTTCCTAAGGCTGACCGGAACCTCACTGTCCTGAGGGCTTAATGATTAAGCAAAGGAGAGGGAGGCGGGTGAGTCAGGGGGCTGAGTAAGACCAATTTTGAGTCAAAGGGGAAAAATGTCAAAAGCCGGATGAAAGAAAATAAGGTTTCTGCGTGGTTACAGCATTGCTATGCCTGTAGGCATGATGGATGTTTTCCATCACCATCACCAGTTGGCCTTCAAAGAGCAGAGCTGAGCCGTCTGTGGTGCCCTCAGCCATGTGACCAGCCCCAGGACAGGGCCTGGTGCTGGCGGGGGCTCTGATTGCTCAGCGAGTGACATCTCTGGTGACCGGGCAGGGCAGTCACGGCCAGCTGGTGTGTGGCCTGCCTCCGCCACACTGTGCTTCCTCGCTCACTGTGGACCCGCGCTCACTGTGCTTCCTCGTCCCCTGCAGGTGTTCCACTACATGAGCATTGTCATCTTGACCTTCTTTATGGTGGAGATTTTCCTTAAAATATTTGTTTTCCGCTTGGAGTTCTTCCACCACAAGTTCGAAATCCTGGACTCCATCGTGGTGGTGGTGTCCTTCGTCATCGACATCGTCTTCCTGCTCCGGGAGCATGAGTTTGAGGCTCTGGGCCTGCTGATCCTGCTCCGGCTGTGGCGGGTGGCCCGGATCATCAACGGTACGTCCCCTGGCTCGGGCTGCAGAGCGGGCAGTGCAGGCCCAGCCCCTCGCTGGGGCGCTCCCAGCTTTGCCCCTTGGTGGCGGTTGTGCGCGCTGCGGCAGGCAGTGCTGTCGTGAGCCAGCTCTGTGGGAGGGAGCTAATCTGCTCAGTGCTTATTCTTCAGCCCATGGGGACCAGAGAGAAACATTTGACAACTAGGTTCCGAGCAGCTCCGAAGTGAAAAACCTGACCCTCCTAGTTCTGATGCCTTTAAGTGACGACTGTTGTGTTTGTCGCCCCTCTTCCCAACTGTATATATTTATAAGGAACACAGATTTTTTTTCCCCAAGTGGTTAAATTAGAAACCAATGTCACTGAGACCCTCAATTATTTTTCAGGGATAATTATCTCGGTTAAGACACGTTCAGAACGGCAACTGCTTAGGTTAAAACAGATAAATATACAACTGGCCACCAAGATCCAGCACCTGGAGTTCAGCTGCTCTGAGAAGGTAAGAACACACTTCTGGGAAGATGCCATCTGTTTGCAGGTGCCCACATTCAGCACGTGCTTCTCACTGCCAGGCCTGGGGCACCCCTCCCCTGGGCTGGGTCTTCCTGGCCCCCTGCCCAGAGCTGTGCTGGGCGCCCCTCCTCCCTGCACTGCTATGTCCACTGGCCCCCGTCTGACTGCAGCAGTCCCCTTCGGCAGACGGACTCCACAAGTTTCCAAGCCTGCCTTCGGCGTTGTGTCCCTGTACCTGGAGCTCACTGAAGGATGGTCATGTCCCTGGTGAGGCTCAGAAGGTAAATTTAGTTTTTTGTCTGCTTTTGTAATAACAGGAACAAGAGATTGAAAGACTTAACAAGCTATTGAGACAGCACGGACTTCTTGGGGAGGTGAACTAGAGGCGTACCTGCTCTACTCCAAAGAGACGACCCTCCCCCGGGCTTGTGCCTGTGGATGGGAGCTACAACCGCCTCTCCTGGGCCCTTTGCAGGACAGCTTTGGTTTGATGCCTGTGACTGCCTCCCACCCACTGGGATTCTGGAGGGACACAGTCTTTCGGAAGGCGCTCTATCTTCCTTGGTGTGACCGAGAGCTTCCCGCCCCATTCCCACCTGCACTGTATCACAAATGTATCATAAACTGTTTCCCACGAACACTTTACTCTTGCTTGAAAATGTACAACAAAGCTGGACAATTACTAGTTGTCTATCAAATTGAATCAAATGTACAGTTGTCACGTTGCGCGTGGGTCCCGAGGCACCCTTTCATCGGAGCACTCTGAAAGACAAGGGAAAGAAAGGCAGCGACCTTAGCCACCAGCCCATTCAGGGAGACCGTTCTCAGGTGCCAGCCCTTCCTCAGCATCTCCCAGCTTCTAGCTGGCGCCACCTCGTTCTGCCACCTGACAACATTTTTCTCAATTACAGTACAATTAATGTGAAATAAACTCCTTCCCCTGGGCCCTCCTACTATATTCTTTCCAGCTTCAACTACTTGGCACTGCTCTGTGGCATCCCACACCAGCCCACCCATTGGAGAGCGAGCTAGCGACAGCGCCTGGCACAGAAATGTCAGTTGGACCCAAGACTCCACTGTAATTAACATGACATTTGGGGGCAGATCCCTTCCGCGGCCTTGTGATTCTACTTGCATGATCTTATACAATATTTCGCTATTTCTGTACTCATTTCGATGGGACCTGAAAAGGAAAAAAACCTAAACTAAAAACAGTGACTATTTTAACAATAATTCACATTAAAGCAGGGGATGAGTAAACTGGATAAACCCTCAACGCCTGTGCTGCTTCAAATTCTTTTTTTTTATATATATATCCTGGGTGTACTTCCAATTCTTTTCTCTTAACTATCTTCCCAAAGTGCAGTTTGGTTTCCATGTATGATCTATGTGTTGAGAGGTTTGGAAATGACCAAGATCAGATGGTGCCCCAATTCTCAAGTCAAACCAAGTAGGAGAAAATCTCCAAAAGGAGGGAAACGATGGGGAGGGAGGAGTGCTGGTTTGGGGAAGACCCCAAGGGGTAGAAGTGTAATAAAATGAGCCGTTTCCGCAGGGCCCCGCACCCACTCTGCGCCAGAGGCGTGGCCTCGTTTCCTTAATGACTTACGTCAAACAAACGGGAAGAAGAAATTAAAGGGCAGCTTGGCACTGACGGCTGGCTGAGCCCTGAAGCCCGCCTGTGCAGGTGCAGACACATCCACAAAAGTGACCGCAGTGGAAATAAGAACCGTCCTTTCACTTCCTGAGCTGGTCTGTAATAAAAAGTCAGAGTGATGCAAGCCTTGCCATCCAGGTGTTACCAGGGTAACAAAGACGGGGCATCTCCTCCTCTTCACTGACCACTGTCGGGCAGTTCATGAATCTGACAGGTACGTGGAGGGCTCATCAGCCATTAACTTGGATGAGAGAGAGAGGTTTTTACCCAGTTTGTCCTAACACATCAATGTCGATCATAACTCACAGAGATTGTAAAGATCAAATCTGAACAAAAGTGCTACTGTGAATAAAACCAGTGGAAGTGTTTCCTCTGAGTGGAAGACAGTGACTGCTACACTGTTTCCAGATGGTTCCAGAACCCAGATGGTTACATTTCACTTATAATCCTTTTCACAAAATAATAAATGTTACTACCACACTTGGCTTTGTCTGGACTTGTGTCTTAACCTGTACCTTGAAACTAAAGTTAGGGTTACCTCAGGAAATGAGGAGGAAAGTAGATTCGCAGTTACGTTGACTATTTTAGCCTGTGGGTTCAGTAAGGATCCATATTTAGTCCACTTCACTTCTATAACCAAAGCCACCGGGAGCTGGCAAGAGTCCTGGGAAACAAAATGCCATTAATCAGTTTGACTGTTACACAACCTCAAGTCAAACTTAATCTGCAGTTCAGGGTTTTAATTATAAAATGTTTCACATATTACAAAATGTTCTGAACAAGAGAATGAATAGGCTCTCGAGGTTCAGATGAGAACTGCTTAGAGAAAGCACTCTATATTTTCAAGTACTCAGTGTTCCAAAAATATTTTAACACCTAAAGCACAATTTTCCATCCTCCGATTCCTCCTCTTTCTACAGAGGCCAACACTACCTGGGAGTTGTAAGCCCCACACCCACCTGTAGAACCTTCAAGGCCTCACCTGCTCTAACTTCCCCTACGTGTTTACACCTGCCTCAGAGATACTTTAGGAGAGAAACTGGCATGGGGTGGGGAGGAGAAAGAGAGGATGGTATTATTGATAAGACTTTCAACCTGATTGCATATCATGTTAAAATGCACTTAGAAGAAATGTAAGTGCCTTCTTTTCATTTATCTGACTTAATCAATCGGCAATTAAGATGTTACAGTGGGGTGTGCAGGCAGGATCTGCAAGTCGTCAGAGACGCCAGCTCTGCGCAGGGACCAAGAGCACTGGTGCGCAGTGAGGCTGCCCAGTTCAGGCTGGGCACTGGGAGCTGGACCTGGGCCTCTGCCCAGGGCCTTTGGTCATCCCCAAGGTAAAAATCGGTGAGTGGGCCTTCCTGAGCTTGTTGGACCTCTTGAGTTGGCAGATATGATAACTGTTGAAGCTGCATGATGGTTAGGAGGGATTCCGTTGTATTATTCTACTTTTGTGTGTTTGAAAAATTTCCACAACAAGTTTTTAAAAATACATCTAGTAGTCTGGCTGGTGTGGCTCAGTGGTTGAGTGTCGACCCTGCACCAAGAGGGCACCAGTTTGATTCCTGGTCAGGGCACATGCCCAGGTTGTGGGCCTGATCCCCAGTGGGGAGCGTGCAGGAGGCAGCCAATCGATCTTCTTGCTCATCGATGTTTCTCATTCTCTCTCTCTCTCTCTCCCTTTTTCTCTCTAAAATCAATAAAATAAATAAATAAAAATACATCTTGTCGAGGCATGAAAAGCTAGCAGGCCTGCTAAATCTGCCCTGCCAAGAAGGCACTGGCGGGATTCCTGAGCCTGGAACTGCCTTTCAAGCAGTTTGCAGGCTCAAAGATCCTTGAATATCTTGTTATTAGGAGAAGATGCAACAAGCAGCTGGTATAGCAGTTTAGCAGATGCTCTCAAGTCTGCTTCTACCTGACTTTCCTGGAAGGCTGGACAAACCCACTCCAGGCCGTGAGCCCCTAGGACCAGCACGGACCCTGGCAATGCTGATGTCCTCACTGCTGCCTGTCCTCCCAACCCACGTGTTCCCTTCCGAGGGGGAAGTAATAACTGGATGTCTTAACTCAGCTCCAAGAAGCCAGAAGCAATTTGCCTGGTTCACTGAGGCGGCAGAGCTGAACCAAGACTTAGCAGCTGAGCAGCAGGGGCTGAGAAATCACCAGGCTCTAGTGGGAAGGGCGGATCAGAGCTAGTGAGCTGGGCCTCACCCCCACTGTCCCCATGCTATAAATACACTAAGCAGATAAAGGAAGGCCTGAAGAAACTGTGACAAGAAAAAGCTGGGCAATTACAGAATAAGATGGAGAGCACGCCTCTGGGGATACGGGCCAGCCCACGTTGACTGCTGAGACAAAAGAAAAAGGTGGGCAGAAGAAGCACATCTGATCAGGAACCTATTTGTAGAAAGTCAACTTCCATTAAACTCTTGGGAACTTTTATTTTTTATTTATTTATTTTTTATCCTCACCCGAGGACATTTTGCATTTATGTTCAGATAGAGCAGGAGGGAGGGAGGAAGAGAGAGAGAAACATTGATGTGAGAGAGACACATCGACTGGTTGCAACCCACACAGTCCCAACCGGGGCCAGGGACTAACTGCAACCGAGGTACGTGCCCTTGGCAGGAACCAAACCCGGGACTCTCTGGTCCATGGCCTGATGCTCTAACAGCTGAGCCAAACTGGCCAGGGTTCTTGGGAACTTTTAAATTGAAAGCTCTCCCATGTGAGCCACCTTCACAGACCAGGGAACAATGGGTGGGACGCCTGTGGATGAGAGGATGTCTCAATCTTTTTCAGACAGTCATACTCGTCACATACCTCAGTGCCTAGAGGCCTCATGGAACCAACAGTGATAGTAGGAATGGTCAGGATGGTGATCAGTGGTGGTTTCTATTTAGGGAGTGGCCACTAACTCATTAACTCAACAACCCCATGAGATCAGTACTATGACCATCGCGCCCACTTCAAAGATGAGGTCCAAGCCCACCTGATAACAAAGCCCAGGCCCCACCCAGAGCTCCCTCCCTCCCCCCCTCCCTCGGGGGAGGAGGAGCAGTGGAAGAAGAGGCTGCCAGCATATGGCCTTCAGCTTCTCCTTTACCTTCATGTGGGACACCTGGGTGACAAAGTGGACAGGCACCCAGTCCAGCACATCCTGGGCCTGGGAATTTCCAAAAGGGGCCACATAATCTGGGAAGCCCTGGCCCTTCAACAGGCTCTTCACCTTCTCCACAATAAGCGGACACGGGCTAGCCCTGGTCAGTCTGGGAAGAGAGAAAATGAGGTCAATCGGGTGAGGCTGCTGTCCGTGCCAGCAGTTTATGCAGGCCTCGGCAATACGCGCGCCCCTCCGGTTCACGCGGGCCTCGGCAATACGCGCGCCCCTCCGGTTCACGCAGGCCTCGGCAATACGCGCGCCCCTCCAGTTCACGCAGGCCTCGGCTATATGCATGCTCCGTCCAGTTTACGCAGGCCTCGGCAATACGCGCGCCCCTCCGGTTCACGCGGGCCTCGGCAATACGCGCGCCCCTCCGGTTCACGCGGGCCTCGGCAATACGCGCGCCCCTCCGGTTCACGCGGGCCTCGGCAATACGCGCGCCCCTCCGGTTCACGCTGGCCTCGGCAATACGCGCGCCCCTCCGGTTCACGCGGGCCTCGGCAATACGCGCGCCCCTCCGGTTCACGCAGGCCTCGGCAATACGCGCGCCCCTCCGGTTCACGCAGGCCTCGGCAATACGCGCGCCCCTCCGGTTCACGCAGGCCTCGGCAATACGCGCGCCCCTCCGGTTCACGCAGGACTCGGCAATACGCGCGCCCCTCCGGTTCACGCAGGCCTCGGCAATACGCGCGCCCCTCCAGTTCACGCAGGCCTCGGCAATACGCGCGCCCCTCCGGTTCACGCAGGCCTCGGCAATATGCGTGCCCCTCCAGTTTATGTTCTCTCTCCAAAAGGGAGGTTGTCCGAAAGAAGCCACGGGGTCTCTAACTTTGAGAAATCTCCGTTGGCCAGGGGATGAATCCAAAACAGCACTTCCCAAACCGTGTTCCACTGAGAGGCTCTGTAGAAGGGTTCCATGGCCAAAAGTTTGGGGAATATTGCACATCCGTGTCCCCCCTCTGCACTCTGGCATATTGAGGGCTCTGAGAAGTCCTACAGTGAGGACTCATGTTTTTAACTTTAATTGGTATTTCCCCAACATACCGAACCATAGACCTACCCCTACTGACATCTTGTGGCAATGTATTCCATGGAACCCCCTTGGACAAATGCTGGTCTAAAGTGATCAGAACTAGTAATGTACAGATGTAAATGGTGCATATCAGTCTAACCAAAATAATGATATAATTACCCTGGGGAGATGTAGGGGTGGGAATTGAGTGGATGATGGGTTAGTAGACGAAAGGAAAAAGAGCCAGATTTTCGTCTTCCACAGTGGGAATTCAAGAAATAATCTATCCAACTAAAATATCAAGAAATAGCACTATATGCAGACTATTTAAAGATTTGGGAGTAAATTTCAAAAAAAAAAATCAGCTATAAGAGTTAAAAACGATTGCCTCTGGCCCGGCTGGTGTGGCTCAGTGGTTGAACATTGACCCATGCACCAAGAGGCCGCCAGTTCGATTCCTGGTCAGGGCACATGCCCAGGTTGTGGGCCAGATCCCCAGTGGGGGGCATGTAGGAGGCGGCCAATTGATGTTCTCTCTCATCGATGTTTCTATCTCTCCCTCCCTTCCTCTCTCTAAAAATAATAAAGAAAAAAAAATTTTTTTTTAATAGTGATTGCCTCTAGGCTGGGGTAAGTGAGGGTAAGAACTGCCATTTTAAAAAAAAATTTTTTTTATTATCCTCATCCAAGGACATTTTTTGATATTTTGTTCAGATAGAGTGGGAGGGAGAGAGAGAGAAACATCGACGTGAAAGGGACACATTGAGTGGTTGGCACCCACACGATGGGACAAACTGCAGGCGAGGTACGTGCCCCTAGCAGGAACCGAACCCGGGTCTCTCTGAACCACAGGCTGACGCTCTGACCACTGAGCAAACCCGGCCAGGGTGGAACTGCCATTTTTAAAATCTTTACTCTCTCCCTTCCTCTCTCTTTTTTTCTCTCTCTCTCCCTCCCTCCCACTCTATCTGAAGATAAATGGAAAAATATCCTCAGGTAAGGATTTAAAAAAATAATAACAAAACAAGCCAAGCAGAGCTATTTGACATCTTACATTATGTACATTTGATAATAAAAAGATAAATTTAAAACATCGCATTAGGCTTCCTCTCACTGGGTTTGTTGTGTTGTGTATAGTATATTAAAATTCAGAATATAGCCCTGGCCGGTTTGGCTCAGCGGTTAGAGCGTCAGCCTGCGGTACAGAGAGACCCGGGTTCGGTTTCCGCTAGGGGCACGTACCTCAGTTGCAGTTTGTCCCTGGCCCTGGTTGGGTCGTGTGGGTGGCAACCACTCGATGTGTCCCTTTCACGTCAATGTTTCTCTCTCTCTTCCTCCCTCCCACTATATCTGAACAAAATATCAAAAAATGTCCTCGGGTGAGGATAAAATAAATAAATAAATAAGTAAAATTCAGAATATAGGAAGGACTTCCAGAGAAAGTATTTTTGCTATGAATTCTAGTACTTTGCAGCCTTAAAAACAAAATATACAAAGCCTTGAGGTTTTCACTCTGCCACATTTGATTTTTAAAATGGTTGTGTTTTCCTTTGAACCATGACACATGGTTTATGGTTCTGAGAATTAAAAGTAGAAATAAAAAAACCTGTATTATAAGGTACTGTCACGATTGCTACTACATGTTAAAAGTCACAAAAAGGTCATTGTGGCTTTCACAGGCACTGGTCCGCTGATGCAGATATCAGATTAACACGGGGAGGGTAGGAATGCTTTATTTTCTGATCAACACAAACAAGTTTCAACAGAAACAAGTTATTCCCTTACCTTAGTTTACAGCCAGATTGCATATTGTAACCAAATAATACTGGGGTCCGGATCCCCTCTAGTGCTAAGCAGTCTTGCTCAGTTGTGCTGCGCAGAACAGTAAATTGTCCATATCTGTTTGTGGTCTGAACAATCCCAGACATTCATAGGAAGTTAAGGGATAACCACCCAGTACAACAGCAGCTTGAGTCTCAGGAAACAGTGTCACTGTGTGACATGAGACATGCGTGAGACCCAACTAGCTCTTCTCTGGGCCTCTGGGGATTCAACAGCTATCTCCCAGGAGATAGTTACAACTGTTTTTAATCAAAACAGTTGTAACTACTTTCCTTGATTAGGAGATCTTCAGAAGGAAAAAAAAATCTTCAGAAATGGGTTCTTTTCGCTGTTACGATTTTCACTGTAAGACACTGACATTTTCCTGGGTCACGCTGGGTCACCCCAACCCCGTCTCCAAGGAGCTCCACTTGCCGGGAGGCCAGGCCCACCCCTACGAGGGCCACCCGGAGGAAGCTCAGGCAGAGACTGGTCTCCAGCCGCAGGACCCTGGGCGACAGAGAGAAGCGTGGCCCCTTCATGCAGGCAGGGAGGTCAACCGTCTCCACAGACCCAAAAGGATATCCTCTGTGCGGTTGAAGTCCGGCGGCCAGCGGGAGCCCCACCACGTAACCAGGGTTTCCGCTGAGGGGAACTGGCTTTGTGTTTTGCTGAAAGACAATGCAAAGATGCCCCCACATAATCTCACTTTGATAAGCATTACCGACCACTGAAAGAATGTCTCCCCTACGGAACCATACATCCGTCTGCTGGGCGTCGGAGGGCACGTGCTGCACACAACAAGCTCACATCAAGGGTCTTGGGCCCGGCGGAGAAGCAAGGCCTCTGCCGAGTCGTGACGAACTCCCAGGCTCTGTGCGAGCCCTCGTTCAGCGCAAGGGGTTACATGTGCTAACACCTACAAACCGAGACTACTGTTTTCACTAACAAGTTAGGATTTCTTTTCGCTTGGCAACTAAATACTTTACAAAACTGATCCAACTTACCTGGGTAAAGCGAATTTCAAACCCCTGCTGGAGGGGAAGCTCCGCACCGCTGACGGTCCCCAGAAGGAGAGACAGCTCCGCTCTCGTGATCTCCCCTGCATCCGTGTACGTAAGGCTGTACTTGACCTGACAGCAGAATGACACTCCCAATACCTGTTCCCACATTTCTGTAGCGGTATTAGTAACTCAAACAAAGCAGACACAGGAGGCACATGCTTTCCCATTCCTCCACTTGCTGAAGCTCTTCTCTCCTGTCCAATCGGGTTACAGGAGGTGTTATTCAGCATCACCCCTGCTGACAAGCAGGGTTCATCTGAGCCTCTCTGTGCCCAATTACATTAGTTCTAAATCAGCTGGTCTGGGCAGAACAGAATCGGTCTATCGCTGCAGAGGAGACATCTTAAAACAAAACAATGGCGATAGCAACACATTTTGATGTATTTTTGTAAGTCGCCAGGTTTATGGAGAAAAGGCACACAATTATTTCAGAGATGCAGACGCATCCTCTGATGGGACAGCAGAAAGGCAGGCAGGAGGCCAGGTCGAGAAAGGCAATACCACCCGGCCGGTGTGCTCAGTGGATTGAGCATCGTCCCATGGACTGACAGGTCCTGGTTCAATTCCCAGTTAGGACACATGACCGGGTTGCGGGCTCCATCCCTGGTAGGGGGCATGTAGGAGATGGCTGATCAATGTTTCTCTCTCACATTGATGTTTCTATCTCTCTCACTAAAAAATCACATATTTTTTTTAAAAAAGAAAGGAAAGCAATACCACGGTGTGGGCCAGAAGCCTTTGGCGGGCATGCAGTTGGACCCTCAGGGCCACGCATAAGAGTCCGCCACCGGCAGATCAAGCTGTCAAGCCCAGCCAGGCACGCACCTCGAGAACGACGTTAGTGCAGACTCTCGCAGCCCCAGCCGCGACCAGAGCCGGCTCCAACACGCCTGCGTCTTCCAGCCGGGTAAACGTTTTATTCAGAGACTGAGTGACGATGGACTGCACAGCAATAGGGACCTGCAGGGTACAAAAGTCTGGGATTACTGAGGACACTACAACAGAGGTGAACGGGTTAAATAACAAAACATTTGAACCTCCACTGATATCTGCTACCTCCCTTCCTCATCCCTGCCTGGTCTCTTTCCCTCCTTCCCTACCTGGTACCTTTCCATCCCCCCCCCCCTGGCACTTCCCACTTCCCTTTGCCCGGCACCCTCCTTCCTGGGCCTTCCTCTCTTCCCTCTAGTCTGACACCTTCCCTCCTCCACGACTGTCTTGCACCTGCTCATTCTCCTTGCCTGTCACCTCCCCTCTGCCTGGCACTTTCTCATTCAGCTCCTGCCTGGCATCCGTGCCCTCCGGCACACACCCCTGCCTGGCACCCCCCCGTCCTCCCCCCTGCCTGGATATTTCTATGTAATACACATATACATTCCCAGAGAAATACCTGAGACGGATACTGCCAAAACTTTAAATGCGGTTGCCTCCAAAAACATGTTCACACAAAACTTGCACACAAATGCTCATAGCAGCATTCCTAATAGCCACAGACTGAAAACAATGATGAATGGATAAATAGAATGTGGTATATTCGTACAAAAGAATATTATTCATCTATGAAGAGGAATAAAGTACTGCCACCTGCGGTTGTGGTTCATCCCCAGCCCTAGTCAGGGTGGTGTGGAAGGCAACCAGTCGATGTCTCTCTCACATGGATGTTTCTCTCCCCCACCCCACTCTATCTGAAGATAAATAGAAAAATATCCTCGACTGAGGATTAAAAAAGAAAAAAGAAAAAGAAAACACAATGCTAAGTGATAGAAGCCAGACACAAAAGGCCACATAATGTATGATTCTGTTTCTAGGAAATGTCCAGAACAGGCAAATTTACAGAGACAGAAAGTCTATTAGTCGTTGCTGGTGCGGAGGGAGGGGTTGGAGAAGAATGAAGAGTGACTGCTAATGAATGAGCACAGGGATTCTTTTTGGGGTGATAAAAATGTTCTGGTGATAATAGTGATGGTTGCACTACCCTGTGAATATACTAAAAACCACTAAATTGTACACTTTAAAATGCTGAGTTTTATGGTACGTGAATTATGTCTCAAACACACACACACACAAAACTCATGTCACACCATTAAACATATATATGGATACTCTTGCCTCCAAAACACAGCTCTCACCGATAAATGCCCTCTGTACGCATACACGCGCGTCCCCTCCCCCTGCACGCGCACGCGCACACGCGCGTCCCCTCCCCCTGCACGCGCACACACGCGTTCCCTCCCTCTGTACGCACACATGCACGTTCCCTCACACTGTACGCACACATGCACATTCTCCAACAGCCCCAGGCAGTCCTCCAAATCCCCACAAACGTCCTGAATATACACTTCATCCAATGTATACACAACTTCTACCCACACCCACACACAGTGGCGGGATCATGGGTGAGAGAAAACAGAGACAGACAAATCTTTTCGGTGCCATCAGGAAGCCCTGGCTCACCCAATGCCATTCAAAATTTTTCATCTATGGCCATTGACAGCAATTCTTTAAATGTAGTGACCGTCCCAAACGAAAGAACTAAGGCACACTTAACAGGAGAACTACAGGGCCACAACTTATCCTTTCACTGACAGTTCAACAGATACTGACAATGATTCTAGGCAGTCAGAAGGGGCTTCACTTCATAGGGAGACTGGATCCAATTTTTATATTCCTGATTCTCTAGCAGACCTCGGAAGTTGCTTGAAAAAAAAAAAAAAAACTAAAGAAATCTCTGCTATTAGTTGATATGCTTGTCTTTCAGAGCACAAACTTGAATGTCACACACATCTGAGCTGGAAGTCCCAGCCTACCACTTCCTGTGTGGCCACCCGATGCAGAGAGACTGTGCGTGAAACTTGTAACTTAGTGCCTGGCACACAGAAGAGCTAGTCCAGTGTCATGGTCTCTGGGGCCCGACAGCCTGGATTCCTGTCCCAGCTCTGCCACTTTCTACGCATGGCCCTGGGCAAGCAATTCATCTGTGACTCAGGTAGCAGAGGGGGACAATAACAGGATATACCTCCTAGGATTGCTGAGATGACCAAAGGGCTTCAGACATGTGGACATGTGTAGCACTTGGAACAGTGCTTGGCACATACTATGTGCCTCTCAGGAAAATCCCATTATTTCTCATACGGGTCTTCCCTACTTGATTGAGCCAAGTCCCTAGTCATTCATTCACTTAACACATAACCCACCAAAGACTAGACATCGCCCTAGTACTAAGGACATATTGGAAACAGGGCCACTGCCCCCACAGACAGTTCGAGTTTTGGTAGAGTCAAAGCACTTTTTCAGTGATTTAGAGGTATCTGAGAGCTAGTCCAGTGGTCTTCAAACTGGGTTCCTGGAGCCGCAGGGTCCCTCAGAGGGGCTAAAGAGCAGAGAGATGGACAGGCCAGGCAGGTGGAGAGCTTCTGGCCACCACCTTACTCTAACCAGGGGCTTTGGATTCAACCATGTTAACACTAGGAAGAGTTCTACTTGAGATTTCATTTGAAGAAGCCCTATAACTAAAACAAGTTTGAAAACACCTTCACAAAAGAGGAAATCCAGGCCCACACACAGAAGTGTGTAGTTCAAAGTCACATGACTACTCCTTCCGAACATCTACCTCGAGCACGTCTGTGTCCGGAGACTTAATGAAATCAGTCATCGTGGTATCGCTGTCCTGAGGGTTCTTGTGTGCCAGGCGCTGCACAGAGCCTGCGCATCAAGGCTTCCCATCCACTGGACACCGAGGGGGACTGCGGTGCATGTTACACAAGAAAGTAATGGCAAAGCTGGGTTCTGAACAAGGTGGACCAATTCAGCAGGCTTTGGGAGACTATGACAAGGCCATCGCCTGTATTCACAGGCAGGCACAGGGCACAGACCCAAGAACAAGAGGTAGTAGATCCAAGTTCCCTCCCTCTGACATATCCACAAAGAGACGCTGGTCTCCTCACCACAGGCTGGCAGAACCCCTGGGCTGGGGCGATAGGGCTTGGAGGAGAACCTACCCACAGTGCTGACGCTACACTGAGAAGGCGCACCTCCTGCACAGGTGTGCTCATTCTCTGGGGAAGTTGTCTGTATTGTCCTCACTGGACACACAGCATCCTGGGAGCTGGCCAGCTCTCCCGACAAGAGATCAAGAAGATATCGGGGGCCCTGGATGATTTGGCTCAGAGGTTAGAGCATCAGCCTGCGGTCCAGAGAGACCCAGATTCAGTTCCTGCTAAGGGCACGTACCTTGGTTGCAGTTTGTCCCCAGCCCCGGTGGGTCGTGTCGGTGGCAACCACTCGATGTGTCCCTTTCACATCGATGCTTCTCTCTCTCTCCTCTCTCCCTCCCACTCTATCTGAACAACAACAACAACAAAAATGAAAAAATGTCCTCGGGTGAGGATAAAAAATGAAAAAGAAGATATCGGGGGTTGCCCGGAAAGCACAGAAGCCAATCACACCGATGTGTGATCACAAAGGGTTATCTAGTAAGGAGTTGCCCTATTTCATTTCTGCTTATTTTCTGACAAATGTTTTTGTTTTTGGCAGTAATGTACCCTTATAATGATAAGTATATTCATTTCAAAAGGCTCAGAAAGAAGACAGTGTATTATAAACTAACTTTCCATTAAGAAATACTCTTACCTTTGTTTTTGAATTAGGTACCTAGACAGAAAGAAACAACAAATTCTGTTAAATACAATAGAAAGAAGCATTTGTATTGCTTTTGTTCAGACTGTGGGTGAAAGGGCATATTCATCTTAATAATGACTTCACAAAGCCCTGGCCAGTTTGGCTCAGCAGTTGGAGCATCAACCCACAGACTGAAGGGTCCCAGGCTCGATCCCTGGACTGGTCAGGGTCATGCGAGGTCAACTAATCGATGTGTCTCTCTCACATCAATACCCCCCCCCCTTCCACTCTATCTAAAAATCAATGGACAAATATCCTCAGGTGAGGATTAACACACAAAAAGAGACTTCACAGAGAGGAAAATAGAACATCCTTCATCAAGACCTGCTATCTATATCTTTTTTCTTGGTGAGTTCTCTACTTGTGCCACTATGATTACTTCTGTCATAGACACTGAGATGCTTTATAATTTCTAAAGTTTTTGGTTATTTATATTTTTTTTATTCAGGAGACAGGCATTGTCGGTTACCCACACAATGAATGAAAGGAAAAATGAATAAAAGCAAAACATGAGCTATTTAAAAATAGAAATTATTTTAAGTGATTTTTTTCCAGTACGTTTGCTATCAGTATACCAAAGAACTGAGGGGGGGGGGGTTAAAATTAGCACGTCAATCATGTACTGAAATTATTCTATAAAACAGTACAAAGGACAGAAAACAAGCCTGACGAATCAGCTTCACTTCAAAATAATTCTTACCCTCAAAATTTCAGGGCTGCTGTAATGAGCCATGCTCAGGACTTCCATTTCTTCACACTGTTCCAGACGTACCCTTCTGGTACACTTCACAGCTTGGTTCACCAAAAATGCTGGAAATCGTAACATCCCCCAGGGGAAAAAAATCAAAGAGAAGAAAATTTTCAATTGTCCAATGGTAACTGCAAAATTGTAATAGAAGTAAAACCGCAAAATAAATTATGACACAGATATACGTGTTTAAAATAGAGTTGAAAAATTATTTTTCAAATAGGTAACACATTCGCATGATTCAAAATTCAAAATCACAAAAAGGTGTTGAGAGGAATCTCCCTCAGACCCTTGTTCCCCAGGCCCCCAGAGACACTCAGTATGAAGTTTCTTGTGTATCTTTCTGGAAATATTCTATGCAAATAAAAGCATGTGTATATATATTTAGTATTTCTTTCCCCTTTCAGAAACAAATGCACAATAGCTTCTGACCTTTGTTTTTTTCACTGAACAATGTATCTTGGAGTTCAGGCTGTCTCAGTACATGAAGAGCTTCCTCCTCCTTTTCTCAGCAATAATTAGTACTCTACTATAGATAAGCCGTAATTTACTCAACCAGTTTCCCTCTACGGACACTTAAGTTGTCTCCAGCTTTGCTATCACAAACAATGCTACAATCTATACTTTGCATGTGGGCCAGAGTTTCCGTGGGACCAACTCCTAGAAGTAGAACAGCTGAATATATCAAAGGGCATATTCATTTGCTATTTTCATACGTATTGCTAAACTGCTCTTCACAGAGGTTGTACCAATTTATAGTCCCACCAGCTATGTAGATGAGTGTCTAATTCTCCACAGACCTACATTTCTTAAGCTTGCCAATCCATTAGATGCAAATGGTACCTCGGTTCGGTTTTAATTTACTCTGGTCCTGTTGTGAACGAGGTTAAGCATCTTTTCAACAGAACACATTTTCCTTCGCGTATCACATGATGCCCCATTAAGCCACAGCTACCATCCCTCACTTGGCAGGTCTCTTCCTAGGGAGGCTGGCTTACGGATGGGAGCCTCCCACTGCCAAGAGGACTACTCCGCCGTCTGTGATGCTCCTAAAAGGGGCAGCAGGGCCACGGGAGGGAGCTCTGTGGGTTGCATCTCTGCTCCGCCGGCACCTAAGTGAGCTGGAGCAAGAAACTGAATGTTTCTCTTGTTCCTCATCCAAATAATGATGGAGACCCTACCTTAGAAGCACTGACCATCATGCCCAGCACACAGTAAGCGCTTAATAAATGTCAGTATTGACAAACCAGCTCTGGTGAAAAAAAACTTTCCCACAACTGGAAGTGTAAACAACTCAGTAGGCTGGTTCAGGCTGGGGTTCCCTTCACTGCACGTGACCAAGCGGTGACTGCATGTGGCAGAAAAGACTCCAGCACTGAACTACACAACCTTTGAGGTTCCTCTCAACTCTGAGATCCCCTGTTCTACTTATGAAGCCTGTTTAATTGTGACTACTATAAAATGAGACTAAGCAAACTCTGTTTTAAGGAGAAAGAAAACTGCCCGCTCTCTTACCTGCAGGGTTACTGTCGGTGCACAGAGATGACGTGAGGGGAGAGGGAAATCTCAAAAAGGAGTCTGAAGTCTGCAGAAGAGCCCCGTACTGCAAAGAGATCAGCCAACAGTTGTTCTCATGTTGTGAAGGCATTCATTCAACACTTGCTGGACACCTACTACGTGCCAGGCAGTATTTCAGGCATCAGGAACACAGTGATGAGCAGAAACCAGATATGGTCCTTGCTCGCATGGAGCTTACGTCTAGCTGCCCCATCCTCTCTTTTAAGGGTGTGTGCTCCTGTGGATCCACGTGACTGGATTTTCAGGTTTTTATTAAATAATTCCTCCAGAAGGGTATATAAGAAGCTGACACAGGCGGCTACCTCTGCAGACAGAAACTTGGTAGCCAGGGACAGGGGTGAGAGAGGTAATTATTTTTCACTACCAATACTTATTTAAATAACAGTTACAGTATACATTAAGATCATAGTATTGCCCTGGCTGGTTTGGCTCAGCAGTTAGAGCGTCAGCCCGTGGACCAGAGAGTCACAGGTTCTATTCCGGACAAGGGCACATACCTCAGATGCAGTTCGGTCCCCGACCAGGGTCTTGCAGGAGGCAACCAATCGATATGTCTCTCTCTCATTGATGTTTCTCTCTCCCTTTCTTCCTCCCCCTCCCTCTCTCCCACTCTCTCTGAAGATAAATGGAAAAATATCCTTGGGTGAGGATTGAAAAAAAAATCATATTATATATAATATCAATATGGCATAACTATTGATATGACATAAGCATGGTATGTGTATAAACACATACACACACACTCACACATATAATTAATTTTCTTGAATTTAAAAGTATCCAAAGGCCTCGGTGCCAGCAAAGATCTGTGGAAACACTCCCTCTCCTCCCCTGGGGCTGGGCATGTAAGCTCCTGCAATCTTTCTGCAGAGCAATCTGGTATCGATACTTTAAATTTCCACTCATTTTGGCCAAGTTAACCCATTTATGGGAACATATACTAAGGATTTAATCAGACAAAGATATGTGTATCTATAGGAATAATCAGTGTGGATTACTGGCAATAGCAAAAACTGGAAATAAATATCTGTTAATAGTAGAATAGCTCGATAATAAATGACAATACACAGACAGAAGGAAAACTTTGTATCATTAAAATGTGGCTCCAACACTAGCTCCCACAGTTACTTTCAGAGCTAGTGTAGGTACTAAGTTGTTCTTGTCAGTTAAAGGGGGACAGTGGTGTGTCTCTCCCTGGGTCGCGTGACGTAATGCCTGGAAAGCTCTGCATGGTGCCTGCCACATGGAAAATGCTCATGAAATGGTCATGTAAAAAAAAAAAAAGTTTGTTCTGACTTTTTTAGAGAAAGAGGTAGAGAGAGGGAGACAGAAACATCGGCTGCCTCCTGCACACCCCCTACTGGGGATCGAGACTGCAACCCGGGCATGTGCCTGACCGGGAATCAAACCAGGACCTCTCAGTCCATGGGACGATGCTAAATCCACTGAGCCACACCGGCCAGGCAAGAAATGGTAACTTTTATATTGACATAGCAAGATGCATAAGATTTATCTACATTTATAGAACAATGTGGATACCTAGAAATCCCTCTTCTGTACAATACTACATGTATATTTTAATAGATGCACTGAAAATCAGGAGTATACATCAATCTGTTAACAGTGATTTGCAGTGTGTGTTTTAAGGCAATGGGGCCTTTCCATTTCTATTACATACCTCTATACTAGCACATGTAGCTTTAATATTTCTTTTAAAAATATGCTTCTGAAAATTTTGAAGTTTAGTCAAAGTTAATGATTATCACACTAAAAGGTTTACTAAGGAATAGATGCAAAACAGCACACATCTTCCTCAAGTCTGTACAGCTAAATACAGCTTTTAGAAGACCAGGCATCCCACCAACCCACTCTGTGTTCCAGCAGCATGCCTCCGGCACTCTGCTGCATCTTTTGAGAACAAAGAATTCTGCAGAGAAAAATGCAACCTTACCACAGAATAAATGACTTTAAATCTTATGTTAGCCCAGCCAGTGTGGCTCAGTTAGTTGGAGCATCATCCTGTGCACCACAAAATCGAGGTTCGATTCTAGGTCAGGGCACATGCCTAGGCTGTGGGTTCGATCACCAGTCAGGTGTATACAGGAGGCAACCAATTGATGTTTCTCTCCCACATCAATGTTTCTCTCTTTTTCTTTCTCTCTCTCTCTCTCTCTCTCTCTCTCTCTCTCAAATCAATGGACATATCCTCAGGTGAAGATTAAAAAATAAATAAAATAAAATAAACCTCTATGTTAGAATTCAACTACTCAATTTAATTTTCATGATCTTTCATTTATAGGTACAAACATTAAGTTTTTTGTCTATACACATGTAATATGAATTATATGTCTCAGGTAGCTGATTTTACTGGGAACACACTGAAAAATTAATTTACAATGACAGGATATTTGCCACAGATAAACAGACATAACTTCTTGGCTCACCTCATATTTAGTAGTATTTGGAGGATCTGATTCATTTGCTAAAGAAACATCTGATTCTGCATTCAATGAAAAACCATCAAATGTTTTCATCAATTTATCAAAATTGTTTTCATCAGGCACTTCTGGATTAAGAAAGGATAATGCAGGTTTATCTGTTTTTAGAAAAAGTATTTTAAATCAGTATAAAATACATGTATACAGTTTTAATAGCAATAAGACACTTGAAAAAAATTAAGTGTCTCTCTCTCTATATTTACTTCCCCTAGGACTGCTTGAATCTGATGAAGTAAACAGAATCCTCAGACCTGGCCTGTCTCTCTCACAGTGTGGAAGCAATGGTTTGTGAAGCCACACTTGCAGAGCACAACAGAAGCCCGTAATAACCATCACTTTCTCCAGCCCATGGACTAGAAGGTCCACTACAGAAACCTCTACGTGGAAGCTCTCCCCAGACGGCTGTGGGAATGGGAGACCGTTTCTGTCCACAGAGCCTCCTCCAAAGCCTGGGAGAATATGTGCTGTTCATGGAAAAGGTAGAAGGGAACAGGCCAGTGGGTTCACTGGGCTGGTGTTATGTCAGAGAATGTGACAATGACTGACCAGTCACTACTCCAGGTTACAAATCACAGAGCCTGAGTTTTCAATGATAAGAGAATAAAACCAAAATGTGAAGACATTCGGAAAAGATAATAAAGTTTAACTGATACAACCATAAATGTGTCTCTGATCTTTGATACTGATAACATTTTACACTTTACGTGTGCTTTGGATCTAGACACCTATTTGAGCCAAACGTTCAGATAAAAATAGAGATCCTGTTTTCATGCAAATATTCTAAGTAAAAATAAAAGAGAAAAAAGGAAATTGAAACCAAAGCTGAACCTGATTCTTAACCATTAAACCAGGAGGAAATAAAGAAAAAAAAACACAAAACCCCCTCATATGCCTAAATAAATCTAGATTCCTATCCATGCCTACACGCTTTTGAAACAAAGTATGAAATTTCAAAAGTCAACTACACAAGCATGTTCTTACTTGTAAAGAAAACGTGTCTGCCCACAGGTCTACCTGTGAAAGGACCTCAGAAGATACACCCCAGCCAAACCATAGAATAACTGCTTTAAACTAACTAAATGGGACATTTCCCCACAAAAGATCTTTCAAAAGAAAAAAATTTTTCAGAATTTCACAAAGAATATCAAATACTTACAGTTTGTAATATGAATGCAGAAAATAGATGGATTGATCTGGTCGACAACTTGAAATACTCTCTGAGGTGGGTTTGCTGTAAAATTCAATGAATAGATGGCTGCTTTTTGGCTACAAAACTGACTATCACCCCTGAAAATTAAAAAAGTAATAATAATACAAAGTGTTAAGGCATGTGTACACAATCTTAGCAAAATTTTTAAAAAACTGTCAAGTGCTACCCTGGCCGGTTTGGCTCAGCGGTTACAGCATCGGCCCGCAGACCAGTCTCAGGTTCAATTCCAGTCAAGGGCACGTACCTCAATTGCAGTTCATCCCCGGCCCTGGCTGGGGTCGTGTGGGAGGCAACCAATCGATGTGTCTCTCTCCCATCGATGTTTTTCTCTCTTCCTCCCTCCTTCCCTCCCACTCTGTCTAAAGATAAATGGGAAAATATCCTCCGGTGAAGATTAAAAAACAAACTATCAGGTGCTTGTTCCGTGTACTGTGTTAAAAACTACATGGAGGCCCTGGCCGGTTTGGCTCAGCGGTTAGAGCGTCGGCCTGCGGTCCGGAGAGACCGGGGTTCGGTTCCCGCTAAGGGCACGTACCTCGGTTGCAGTTTGTCCCCGGCCCTGGTTGGTCGTGTGGGTGGCAGCCACTCGATGTGTCCCTTTCACGTTGATGTTTCTCTCTCTCTATCTTCCTCTCACTCTACTTGAACAAAACTACATGGAGGATATTTATGAAAGTGTGATGTTAGAACTGAATCTATTTTTATTTAGTTTATTCAGTGTTAAAATGTTTGGCATTTGAAACTTTTTCCTCTAACAGGGAAAATATTAAGACCAGCTGAATTCTTCAAGGAAATCTTGTCAAGTATGAAATGTAGATCAGGGTATAATTTTGATGTAAATGAACCCTGTAAACTCTGACAGAATCAATTATATAAAATTTAGCAGAACTTATATAGGTAATCAGAAGGGATCTAAACTTCCTTTTCTTCAGAATAAAGCCATCTCCAAAGGGCTGTGAAAATAAGAAACTGTGAAGTCACCTGGAAGTTTTGGGTCTGAGAAGTTACTGCACAGCCAAGTCTTCAACCCATCCCAGACTGGACAACCCTAATCAATTCGCTACTGATACAGATATGGTATGGCGATAGAGAGATACCAGAAATGGAATCCTATTCTACATACTACCTTAAGGCCTTTTCTCACTTAATATATATTGTCCAATATTTATGTCATCAAATGTGTTTTTGCAATATTACACTAAATGATTTCATTGTCTACCAACTTATTAAGATACTCTAATTTATTTTTTTGTTAATCCTAACCTGAGAATATTTTTCCATTGATTTTTAGAGAATGGGAGGGAGGAAAAGAGAGAGAAACATCGGTGTGAGAGAGACACATCAATTGGTGGCCTCCCACATGACCCCAACCAAGGGGCCAGGGATCACACCTACAACCCAGGTATATGCCTTTGACTGGGAATCAAACCCAAGACCCTTCAGTTCTCAGTCTGATGCTCTAACCAATGAGCAAAAACAGCCAGGGATTCTTCTGGATCTTCTACTGTTGGTCTAGGCTGTTTCTAATTTCCCCTGATTCTATATGATGCTATAATGACATCCTTGTACATACAACTTTATGACTCTGACATCCTTGCACATACATATTTATGACTATGACATCCTTGCACATACATCTTTATGACTATCTCCAGTTATATCCCCTGATTTGGAATCGCTGGGTCAAAAGGTAGGTACATTATTTAAGACTTCTGAGACATATTGTCAGATTGCCCTCCAGAAAGGCAAGATGCATCCTCACCAACACTGTTGAAAAGAGTGCTATTTAGCTGGACTCTCGCCAAGACTGGATATTATCCAACTTATAAATATCCTTTGCCAATTTCATGGGCAAAAACCTGTTATCTGATTGTTTTAATTTTAATTTTATCATTTACTATCAAGGTTAAACATATTTCCATATGGTTACTGCTCACTGGTATTTCTTCCGTAAGTTGCTTGTTCATCTCTATTGATCATTTGTGGATTAGCACATTTGTCTCTCACTGATTTGTGAGAGCCCACATTTTAAGGAATCTCCTTTGAGTGTTATGTGTTATAAATAGTTTTTCCCTAGTTAGGTTACCTTTCAATTTTGTGATGCTCTTTCTCATTATAGAAGTTTTAATTATTTTTTACAATCATAATTCTTTTTTACATTGAAGTATAATTGACCATTTTTTTTAAATAATAAAATTGTCAATCTTTTATAGTTTGTCTGTGGGTTTGTGCTTAAAAGCTATTTCACAACCTAATTTTAACAAATGTTCACCTATATTTTTCATTCATTCTTTCATTTTTTTCTTCCTTTATTGATTTTACAGAGAGAGGGAGAGAGAGATAAAAATATCAATGAGAGAGAACATCAACTGGCCGCCTCCTACATGCCCCCCACTGGGGATGGCGCCCACAACCTGGGCATGTATCCTGACTGGGAATCGAACCAGCAACCTCTTGGTGCATGGGTCGACGCTAAACTACTGAGCCACACCGGCCAGACCATTCTTTAAATTTTTTTTTTAAGTATTACATTCTTCAATCTATTGGTAACTTACTTTGGTGTAATGCTATGAAGCAGAAATCTAATGTTTTTTTGTTTTTCAATAGTTAATTATCCACATAATTTACTGAATGATCCAATCTTATTCAATGATGTGAAATACCATATTAAATATATAAATAGAAAAAATACATAATACTTTTTTTTTAATCAGCTGTGAGCAAAATTAGTGTTCACAACTAATTTTTGGCCTTTCTATTCTCTCCCACTCATCTGCCAATTTGTCTTAAATTAATACTCATCATTTTCATTATTATAGTGTTACAACATATTGGAAACCTGATAGTTTGCTCTTCTTATTCAATAACCTCTTGGCTGTTCTCATCTATTTATTCTTCCAGATGAATTTTAGAATCATTTTAATACAGTATCCCTCTCCCATCTGACTGAATTATATTTATAAATTAGGTTCTTATAAATTAAAATGTTTACATAATTATTCTACCCCCATCCCAGTACACAGACTATCTCTTCATTTATTCAATGAAGAGAGAATGTTTGTTTTATGTTACCACATTTTGAAGTTTTCTTCACATAAATTATGAATAGTTAGGTTTATTTCTATTGGTATTATTTATAATTATATTTCTAATTATTTCTAATTATATTTCTACTGGTATTATTAATAAAATCCGTTTCCACTGTATTTTTTAATGGTTCTTGCTGGGGTAAAAGGAAGCTATTGATTTCATTTATAACTGGCCACTTTTCCAAATGTTCTGTATAGTATATCAGTTGAAATCGTGGGCATAAAGAATATTTTTGAAAACTCTTAAGTAATATTTATAAGAAAAGATCCAGTACTGAAAAATTTTGTGTCCTCCTGGGCCTTAAAGGATGAGTAGTAACCCTGACCAGTGCGGCTCAGTTGGTTGAGTGTTGTCCCATGCACTGAAGGGTCACCAGTTCCAATCCCAGTCAGGGCACATACACAGGTTGCAGGTTCAATCCCTGGTTGAAGTGTGTATGGGAGGCAGCCTATAGATGTTTCTCTCCCATATCAATGTTTCTTTCTCTCTCTCCCCATCCATCCTCTTTCTCCAAAATCAATACAAACACATCCTCAGGTAAGGATTTTTTAAAAATCTTTTTCTAAAGGATTTTTAAAAAAATATGTTTTCATTGCCCTGGCCGGTTTGGCTCAGCAGTTAGAGCATCAGCCTGCGGTCCACAGAGACCCGGGTTCGGTTCCCGCTAAGGGCATGTACCTTGGCTGCAGTTTGTCCCCGGCCCTGGTTGGGTCGTGTGGGTGGCGGCCACTCGATGTGTCCCTTTCACATCGATGTTTCGCTCTCTTCCTCTCTCTCCTTCCCGCTCTATCTGAGTAAAATGTCCTCGGGTGAGGATAAAAAAAACAAAACAAAACAAAAAAAAATATGTTTTCATTGATTTTTTTAGAGAGAGAGGAAGGGAGAGATAGAAATATTGATTTGAGAATTATCCATCAGCTGTCTCCTACACGCCCCCTATTGGGGATTGAGCCATAAACCCAGACATGTGCCCTGACAGAAAATCAAACCAGGACCTCTCAGTCCATGGGACAATGCTCAATCCACTGAACCACACTGACCGGGCTAAAAAAAAAATTTGTAGGTCCTTTCCTGAGGGAATATAGATTCAGCTCTAACTTCTAAATGAGGGGCCTGCAAACCACTCCTGATTTTTGTAAATAAAGTTTTATTGAAACACAGTCATGCCCATTCATTTATATATTGTTTATAGCTGCTTTTTCTCAACAGTGGTAGAGTTGAGAGGTTGCAATAGAGACCAGATGGTCTGCAAAGCTTAAAATATTTACTATGTGGCCCTTTATGGAAAAAGCTTGCTGACCCCCTTCTAAATAGTCTATATCTAAAATTACACTACTGGCTAATAAAAAAAGAACCAACATTCTAAATAATAATCTCAAATCGGAGCAGAAATCTCACTCTCAGGCTCCTGGTATTTATTAAGGCAGCAAAGCAGAACGATTTTCAACAAAAACTGAACCACGCTGTGGTCCGGTAGCCAGAGAAAATAATCTGATTACAATATCCCATTCTCCAAGCATCTTTACAATATTAGAAGTAGATTCCCATTGGTCAATAAAATTGTTTCTCATGGGAAAAACACATTGGACTTCAAAAAGCATTCAATCTATCGAGTATCAATTGCTACAGATTGCTGTAAAGTTAAATTTAAATTAACTATCTCTGAATATGTTGGTCCCATCCTGAATAAATTAACTTCTTTAAGTGCTGCTGTCTTTTCAAAAAGCTTTGAAATCTGAATTACAAGAAACAGATCATTCAGAAGAAATTCTTTTTTTTACCTTGTAAGAGACTGGGAATGTCATTTTCCATTATTCTCATATACAATGTGAACTGTGAGAATTCCAGGGAGATTTGCATATCAGAAAACTATAAACAAATCTTTCCTGACTATCTGTTTAATTTATTGTTACAAGTACTATGTCCAAAACAAAAACTGTAAAATTAAACTGCACCTTTCACCCTAGGCTACAAATAACACTAATTCACAGATACAAAAATGTGATACATTATCTGTTCACAAATTAAAGTGAAATGTAACTCAATCTCTGAACACAGAGATTTCATTATACTCTTTAAAAAGTACTCTCTCTTCTTTTTTGTCTGCACTATCATCTGGCTGGATGCAATAAAGGATAGACACTCTTCCACATACTGGTTTGAACAACATGGCTTCCAAAGGATGCAAAATTCAGGAAATCGGGTTTGGGTTTTTCAGCCTGGGGAGTTTTCACATTCTATCTCAAAATTGTATAATCTTGGTCCAATTTTATCAAAACTGCATGTGTCACAAACTTACGTGACAACTGGAATTGAGCAATCAGAAAAGACACTGAAATCCATGGAGCTGCAATCGGGATCACAACAGCAGTTGATGTCACACTGTGCTGGAGACAGGTCACAGACACACAAAGCAGCAACTACAGAAATGAAAGGAGGGATGCAGAACATCACAATCAGCAGGTAGTGACTGCCCCCTGCCACTGCAATGCACCAAAAATGCATTTCACACAAATATCCATTTGATTTTTGCTACTGCACTTTGGGAGAAATGTGTGAAGTGAAAATAAGTCAGTTTGAGCACTCCTCAATCTGGGGTTTCCCCAAAGTAGTTAATCATCTGGCTCACTTGGAGAGTTGTTTGTACTCTACCTACAAAGACGATGATTTGGTAAGCTGACTGTGAAACCCAGACATCTGTGTTGTTCAAAAATTTTCCAGGTGATGCTGATATTTGAGACAGGATTAAGAACCAGCATGCTAAATCACTTCCCTGACCATAAGAACTACCAGATCAATATTACAGATCCCCAAGCTCCTCTGGAGATTCTGATTCGGAGGAATGACCCACTTAAGCCACCAGGAATCAGGATTCTCAATCTTGTTCCTCTCTTCAGATGTCACCTGCAGCTTTGAAGCTGAACCCATATTCACAGGCTATTGGCCAAGAATCAAACTGGCTCAAGTGCTTTGTACTTGGGGTCCTAGAAATATCTTGGTAATTTAGACACTAAAGCATGGGGAGGTATAAGAATCTCCCCACTTAGTAACTTCTAATTTGTAATAATGATGACTATCTGAATTTTTATTCCCTATTTCATTCTGTCAAACAAGGGGGAAACCCCTTTAAAAGAAATAGCAGTGCCTAAGAATGATAAACACTGAATTCATGGTTGTAATTATTGCTCGGATAACCCACATCATGGGGTTGTTATGAGGATTAAATGAGATATAGCACAGATGACATGCTTAGCACCGTACCTGCTACACAGTAAGCAGTTAATAAATGTCAGCTGTCATTTATTATCATCACTACTTTCAGAGGTCTAAAGAGGAGTCCTTTTAAAAAGATGAAATGTAAATTTATCCCCCATATTGGTTTTCCTGAATACATGCCTTCATAATGATGGTTCAAGAATAGCTTTATTTTGGGAAGAAAATTCATTAACAGGTAGAATACTTACAAGGATAAAAGACCACCTAATCCAAAAACATTAGAGAATTTGGGGCATTGAATACTCTGCTGTATTCTGTCACAATGTATTACTGATTTAGCTTCCCTACTAATTCATCAGATCAAGAGTTTCAATATAAAAGAGTTTGGTTTTTATGTACTGAAACAGCAAATATATTTCTCTGTACTTTTTCTTACAGACTACTCATCATTTATAAAGGAGGCTGTTTGGTGAAATAATGGCCCAGGATGATAGCCGATGATGACTTTTCTATTTACTAATACTCAGCCTTATTCAATTTTTTTTTAAAAGATCCTTTTCTCTTAAGAAGGGATAAAAAATACTGCCCACCTACTGGGGTTATAGTCAGAGGACTTGTTTTTTTTTCAAGATCACAAACCTCTGAGAAATTGCTCACTACTATGAACTCTCACTCCAGAAAATAATGCATATTCACAAAATTTTGCACTCAGTCTGGGGATCACAGACATCCTCTGAAGTCATCCATGTCAAACCCAATTAAAATATTCAATAAGCCCTGGCCGGTTTGGCTCAGCGGTTAGAGCGTCGGCGGTCTGGAGAGCCTGCGGTCTGGAGAGACCCGGGTTCGGTTCCCGCTAAGGGCACGTACCTCGGTTGCAGTTTGTCCCTGGCTCTGGTTGGTCATGCGGGTGGTAGCCACTCGATGTGTCCCTTTCACATCGATGTTTCTCTCTCTCTCTCTGTTCCTCTCTCTCCCTCCCACTCTACCTGAACAAAAAATGGAAAAATGTCCTCAGGTGAGGATAAAAAAATATATATATATATATTCAATAAAAGTTAAACTCTAGGATTGGGTCACTTCCTGATAAATATGTTAATTATCCCTAAAGATGAATCCTAAGAAGTGGGCATAACCCCTCACTCCATAACTTCCCACCTCCAACTCAACACAGAAACAATCCTGGGTTTTCATAATTCAAATCAGTGGAGCCCTGGCCGGTTGCTCAGCAGTCAGAGCCTCAGCCTGCAGTCCAGAGAGACCCAGGTTCAGTTCCCGCTATGGGCATGTACCTCAGTTGCAGTTTGTCCCTGGCCCTGGTTGGGGTCGTGTGGGTGGCAGCCACTCGATGTGTCCCTTTCACATCGATGTTTCTCTCTCTCTCTCTCTCTCTTCCTCTCTCTCTCTCCCACTCTATCTGAACAAAAAAAAGGAAAAAATGTCCTCGGGTGAGGATAAAAAAAAAAAAAAATCAGTGGACAAGGACCTTGACCTTGTCACATTTAATAAGCTACACTTAAGGCGTTTCTTATGTATAAGTGAAAAGTTCAGTGCATCCTATTTAATATTCACAACTGTCTAGAAACTGTTGATAAATTTCGTCTTTGGCTGCAAAGCTGCAAGAGGTAGTCATTCATTGTTACATTGAACATTAATGTTGTGCCCTGGCCGGTTTGGCTCAGCGGTTAGAGCATCCATCAGCCTGTGGTCCAGAGGGATCCGGGTTCGGTTCCCACTAAGGGCACTATCACGATTGTAGTTTGTCCCCAGCCCTGGTTGGGTCCTGCGGGAGGTCCTGCAGCCACTCGATGTGCCCCTTTCACGTGGCTGTTTCTCTCTCTCTTCCTCTCTCTCTCTCCCTCCCACTCTATCTGAACAAAAAATGGAAAAATGTCCTCGGGTGAGGATAAAAAAACAAAACAAAACAAAAAAAGCAATGTTGGTAGGGACCACTGCAAGTACTTTCAAAGATTTGACACTGTTCCACTGACGCTCTCTGAGCCTCCGTTTTCTCCTCTGTATGACAAGGATCATATCTCCCTCTGAAGGTTGTTGAGAGAATGTCTATGAAACAGTTATGAATGTTTGCACAGAGTAAATGTTCAATAAACGTTAACCATCATTATTATGACATCCTCACCCGGCTACCCCCTCCAGGATGGATCACTGTGGATCCCCAGTAATTGACACTTGGTACCCACCGTCCGTGACCGGGGTGGGCCTGGGCCCGGAGGAGGGTCCTGGGGCCCTGGGGCTACCGGGGGGCCTAGCAGACGAGGCAGGTCCAGGAGTCGTCGGGGCTGGCTCCGTAGAGTTGAGGCCCTCGGTTGTCCCCGCCAGGGTGGTCCCGGCCTGGGCGCTCACGGAGGCCCAGCAGTCCAGGAGCACCAGCAGGAGCGGCGAGAGACCCCGCCGCCCCATCGCCGGGTGTAACTCCGCGCGGGCGTCAGCAGGAACCACGTGTTGCCTGGCAACCACGGCGGCGGGCGCAGGGCAATATGGGAAATGTCCCGCGAGGCTCCGGGCGCCTGCAGAGGCGGGGCGTGGGCGGGGCCAGGCGGCGGGGGCGAGCGGCTCCGTGAGACCAATGGAGGTGAGGGGGACTTGTGTGTTCGACCTGTGCTTTCAAGCCCACTGCGGCGCGGACTTAAGAAATTCGGATTTCCAGGCACCGACTCAGGAGATTCTGGCTCAGCAAGTTTAGGGCAGAGGCCAGGAATCAATATTCTCAACAAAGGTCCTGACGCAACCGGTGGGGGCACAAAATTTCGGAACCGCTCTCTTAACGCTACTAAATAAGGACTTTTGAAGGAGCACAGAGATGACATCACTGTCCTTGAATTTTCTCCTTCCCACACTCTGCCAACACTTGCTTTACCTCCTTTGTTTCAGATGCGTCACCTGAGGTCGCCAGATACCTTCTGTTCACCGTGCTGTGAGAGGGGGACAAAGGAACACAACTTTGTACCCACAAAAGAACACTGACAAAAGTTAAGTGGGATGATGTGTAAGTCTTAAAAGGTAAAAACAGCTTAGATCTACTGGAACTCTACAAAATGGCATGGAGACCACAAGACTTAGGGAAGCCCTTCTATTCTAAACTGGCTTGTATATAGGGGTGCTCCAGCCCAGAGATGTTGGCTATACCTTTCATACTTAATCTTACCATTCAGAATTAAATGTCAAAATACTGACACATATGGTATAGTCAAGGGACACATTTATTAAGTCAGAAGAATGCCCAAACTCGATATATCTAGTTTATTAAATTTATATAGCAAAGCGAAATAATCAAAGTGACATCTTTAACAACTTCCTGTGGCATTCCAAAGTGTATAAAATATAATTGGATCAACTTTGTAAACAGATACTTCTTTTTTTTTTTCCTGCAAAGGATTGCTTTAACATCTGACTGAATTTCTGAACCACTTTTAATAACTGATGTAATGCTGTCCTTTAAAAAACTATCTTTTCCAAACTTTCATCTCATGACTTCTAAGTCCAACACTTGTTGTTTTAAATCTTCTCTTTACTTCCAGGTACTTTCTTTTTTAATTTCTTTTATTGTTGAAAATATTACAGCTATCCCCCTACCTTTTTCCCCATTGACCTCTTACTTCCAGGTACTTTCTTTCCCATTCCTTAATAACTATGAATCACTGCGTCCTATTTTCTGTTTTGCAGTTTTAGGCTGTTGGATTAAATTTTTATAAAGTGCCCTTTGACTCTAACGTTTTCTTCTTTATGCTTTATAATTTAGGAAATAATCTCATCACCCCTTTTGTCCAATCTCAAACACTTGTCAGATGGCCCCAATGTAATCTTATGACAGCTTACAAAATCAAAATGAGGGTTGCATCAACTTAGATCCATTTGGAAAAACTTGGGAACAAAGAAACTTCATTTCACAGGTGACCCATATCTGCCAGGCTTTTTCACGGTTCAACCCAGATGATCCTTTCTCCTTTCCTTCTCCTCTGGCCTTGGTAGTTTCCCTCCTTAGGGTGGAAGGGCTAAGATTTCCATATTTTGTCCCAAACTGCAGCATTTGGATTATGGGTAAATGTGATTAAAAATGCCCATCTGTTTCTCCAGGATTATTGGCATTCTTGATTTCTTACCGTTTGTGCCAATGTTGGGAGGAGTCAAGACAATTTAGCTTTTTAGAATTCTGCACTTGGAAGCTGCTGCACGTGAGAAGCCTGAAAACGCAATGACAGAAGTAGCTAGGAAGAAATAGCTAAGGCTGACTTTACAAGGCAGTGTTAACCACTCTGTCATGGTCTTCCGTTTGGTTCAGGGTGAATTGGTTTTTATTGTTATTACTGTTGCTAAAGTCATGGTTTCAAACCTGTGTAAGTATCCAGTTTTTCTTATAATTAAATATATCCACCCATCTTTATTCATCTGAGCCAAATATTTTATAAATAGGGAGGCAGGATAATCAAGCTTTATAAAGAGACTGCTTAAAGCTACAGGGAGTTCAAGGATGTTTGAGTACAAAGGATGGATTCTACCTTTTTTTTGTTTGTTTGTTTTGTTTTGTTTTTTTTATCCTCACCCAAGGACATTATTCCATTTGTTATTCAGATAGAGTGGGAGGGAGAGAGAGAAACATCGAAACATTGATGTGAAAGGGACACATCGAGTGGCTGCCACCCGCACAACCTAACCAGGGCCGGGGACAAACTGCAACCGAGGTTCGTGCCCTTAGCAGGAACCGAACCCGGGTCTATCAGGACCGCAGGCCAACGCTCTAACCGCTGAACCAAACTGGCCAGGGCTGGATTCTACCATTTTGACTGAAGTGAGCAGTCCAATAATTGACTTCTAAGTCAACACACAGCAAAAAATAATCCTCAGTTTCTCTCCACCCATTCCCCATGTGCCCAGGTACTTCAAATGTTTTCTGAAACACTATGAGGGCAGAAGGTCTATTTGAGCAGACTTCACATTCTTGAAAGGTCTCAAATTTACAAGTTTGACCTTTTCTGAGAATGAAGTAATAAATATGGTTTCAGACATACACACAGGAATAAAGTAAAAATAGCTTGTTTACCAGACGATTTTAAACCTTGCATCCTGTTTTTGGACCATACTGCAGTTTGAATAAACCAGTTAGCTTTTCAAGAATCATGGGTGTACAGATATCTTTTTAAGATCCTACTTTGAATTCTTTTGGATATCTACCAGAAGTGGGATTGCCGGTTCATATGTAATTCTATTTAAAATTTTTTTATTTTATTTATTTATTTTTTTTAATCCTCACGCGAGGATATTTTTCCATTTTTTGTACAGATAGATTGGGAGGGAGAGAGAGGAAGGGAGAGAGAGAGAGAAACATCGATGTGAAGGGACACATCGAGTGGCTGCCACCCACACGACCAACCAGGGCCGGGGACAAACTGCAACCGAAGTACGTGCCCTTAGCGGGAACCGAACCCGGGTCTCTCCGGACCGCAGGCCGACGCTCTAACCGCTGAGCCAAACCGGCCAGGGCTATTTAAAATTTTTTAAGGAACAACCATACTGTTTTCCATAATGGCAGCACCATTTTATGTTCCCACTGGTGGTGCACAAGAGTTCCAACTTCTCCACACCTTCTCCAACATTGTTATTTTCTGACCTGTTGATAGTAGCATCCTGATGGGTGTGAGGTATTATCTCATTGTAGTTTTGATTTGCATCTCCCTGATGATTAGTGATGCTGAGCATCTTTTCCTATGTTTACTGGCCACTTGTATATCTTTTTTAGTAAATTGTCTGTTCGAGTCCTTTGCCTGTTTTTATTTTTTTTATTTTTTCTTTATTGATTTGAGAGAGAGAGGAAGGGAGAGGGAGGGAGAGATAGAAACATCGATGAGAGAGAACATCGATTGGCTGCCTTCTGGCATGCCCCCCACTGGGGATTTAGCCCACAATCTGGGTATGTGCTATGACCGGGAATTGAACTGGCGACCTCTTGGTGCATGGGTCAAAGCTCATCTACCAAACAACACCTGCCAGGCAACATACAGATGTTTTTAAAGTCTGATGCAGTCCCATTTATCTATTTTTTCTTTTGCTGTGCTTTTGGTGTCATATTCATTATATAATTGCCAAATCCAATGTCCTAAAGCTTTTCCCCATGTTTTCCTCTAGGAATTTGGTAGTTTTAGGTCTTTAATCCATTTGAGTTAATTTTTTATATAGGTGAGATAAGGGTCTAACTTTATTTATTTTTCTTTTTGCACATGGTTATCCAGTTTTCCCAGCACCATTAGTTAAAGAGACTGTCCTTTCCCTATTTTGTAATCTTGGCACCCTTGTTAAAAATCATTTGGCCAGCCTGGCTGGTGTGGCTCAATCAGGCGTCCGCCCAGAAGTCGCTGGTTCGAATCCCCGTCAGGACACATGCCCAGGTTGTGGGCCCAGTCCCTAATAGGGGCATGCAGGAGGCGGCCAGTCGATGTTCTCTCTCATCGATGCTTCTACCTCTCTCTCCCTCTCTCTCTAAAATCAATCAATAAATAAAAAAATGTTTTAAATCATTTGTCCATATATGCAAGCTTTATCCCAATGTACTCCTTTTTATTGCTGACAACTATAATGGGTGTACCACAATTTCTTCATTCATTTACCATTTGAAGGAATTCGTGTTTTTCCAGTTTTCGGCAATTACAAATAAAGCCACTATAAACATTCACATACTGTATGAACATAAATTTTCGTTTCTCTTGGGTACATACCTAGGAGTGAGCTTTCAGAGTTGAATAGTGGGTATATGTTTAATTTGATAAGAAACTGTCCGACTTATTTCCAGAGTGACTGTACATTTTGCATCCCCACCAACAATGTGTACGATTTCCCAATGTTCTACATGTTTATGTAAACTTGGTGTGGTCAGCTTTGTTTTCATTTTCATATTCAGCTATTCTAGTAAGTGTGTGGTGGTATCTCATCAGGGTGTTATTAGTTGACATTTCAGAAATTCAGTCATACTGTTATGGCACATTTACATTGCATTTTAATATTGGGATGTCCAAAAAGCATTAGTTAAATATTAAATGAAGAAATGAATTCTTCATTTTCCTGTAGTCAAAGAGCCTCAAAAACTGGAAGTGAGCTGGCTTCTTGGTACTACTGAGGGGCACTGCCCCCCCTCCCCTTCTAGTTCTGTCTCTGTGCTGTAAACATGTTTTCATCATTGTCCTCAGGACCCACAGGTAGTTCCGCTTTCATTCACTCCTTACTGGCAACCTGTTAGTGAATTCTTCTTGCAGCCTGAACCTGCTTCATTTTGCTGTCATGGGGGCAGGCATTTCTGCTACAGCTTGTTTCAAAGCACATACCTTTTGTCAAACCCAAATTGTTTGGAAAGAATGTGGAGAACAAGAAAAGCAAATACAAGATGGATAAGCATCAGCCTCACACTGTTGAAGTACATTTTCCATACCCAAAAAGGAACCCACAGTCTGACAGGAATGCATGTAGTTAGGAAGAAAATGCAAAAATTGGAATGTCCTGAACACTTCAGAATTATTGTGGCCGTAGTGAAAAATCTGGAAGGAATGAACCCTAATTTCAAGCTCCCATAACCCCCAACTCTACATTATTGTCAATTTACTAGAGGGTAGGGGAAGATAGTCTGATGAGAAAAGATGTCGTTTATCTAGGTCTGTTTGGACAAAGATTCAAATTGATAACTATTTTTTTATGGAGATCATTTGTGAATTCCTTAAAAAAAATTAATGAAAGTCCTTCCAATCTAATTCCAGCCACAGGCTCAGCTCCCTCTCAGAGGACAGCTGCTTACTATAGTGGGATAATAAAATATCAGTAATTTTAACTTCTGGCCCCTCCCAACGTGAATCAGACTAAAAACTTCCTCTTCAAATGTTCCCTTCTCTTCAAGACGTAAGAAACATGATTGTTAACAGCTTAGGGGGAGAGAAAGAAAGGAGTGACAATCTATTGTGCAGGTATTACTTTTCCATTAAAAACTATTTTTTAAATTAACCACAATACAAAAAAAATTTTTTACAAAGCATATATTCCCTCTCTTAACTGTAGCACCCCTATGTTCTAATAGGGGGAGCATCTGGAAAATAGGGCAAAATTCCTTCCCTCCTGCCAGCCTTATCCAACATCTGTTTAAACTAGACTTGAAAGCAGATTTTAAAACTTGTGAACGTTTTTTAGGTCTAAAGAAAAATTGAACTGAAACAAACATTGTAGTCTTCTGTGGTTACTAAAAGTGTTTACTTTCAGGAATTAGTGAAAATACCTCTCACTGTTCTTAAATATTTTTGAAGGGATATGGCTCATAGGCAGACCAGTTGGCTGCCCAGGTAAACTTCCCTTGGCCCTTTGTCACAATGATTTGCTAGCTGAGCCTCAGTTTTGACATTTCAGAAACAAAATCTTTCCAGATCAGCCCAAGATTACAGGGTCATGGTAAGCAGATCTTCCAGAGATCAAAAGAGATGCCCATTTATTGCTCCTACTTATCCTTCAAATTTCGCCTCCTCCAGGAGGCCCTCCTGCCTGCCCTGACCCACCACAGAGTCCGACCTTTATAAATTTTGGAGCAAGATCAATCAGGGTTAATCCTTTTTCATCCCTTATTAGCTGGGTGACCTTGAGGAAGTTACCTAACCTCTCTGATAAAATCCATCACATTGATATCCCCAATTAAAATAAAGACTAGAAAGATTTTACTTAGCCGTATTGATCTTACGTTATGTATTGCTTTTCTCCCACACCATAAAGCTTGCTTCTCACCCTGGCTGGTTTGGCTCAGCAGTTACAGTATCGGCCAGGGAACCAAAGGGCCATGGGTTTGATTCTGGTCAAGGGCACATACTTGGATTGTAGGTTCGATCCCTGGTCAGGGTTGTGTGGGAGGCAACCAATCGATGTGTCTCTGTCTCTCTCTCTCCCTCCTTCCCTCCCTTCCTTCTTTCCATTCTCTAACAATCAATGGGAGCCCAACTGGTATGGCTCAGTGATTGAGCACTGACCCATGCACCAAGAGGTTGCCAGTTCGATTCCCGGTCAGGGCACATGCCCAGGTTGTGGGCCCAATCCCCAGTATGGAGCATTCAGGAGGCGGCCAATCAATGTTCTTTCTCATCAATGTTTCTATCTCTCTCTCCCCCTCCCTCTACCTCTATTTTTTATTTTATTTTATTTTATTTTATTTTATTTTATTTTATTTTACCTTTATTGGTTTAGAGAGAGAGAAGGGGGGAAGGAGAGAGATAGAAACATCGATGAGAAGAACATCGATTGGCTGCCTCCTGCATGGCCCCCACTGGGGATCTGGTCCACAACCTGGGAATATGTCCTGACCAGGAATTGAACTGGCGACCTCTTGGTGCTTGGGTCAATGCTCAACCACTGAGCCACACCGGCTGGGCTCTCTCTAAAAATCAATAAAGAAAAAAAATTTTTTTTAACCAATGGGAAAAAAATATCCTTGGGTGAGGATCAACAAAGAAAATAAAAGCTTCCTTCTCAACAACTCCAATATAATTTATTTTTTGCTTTATCCCAAAATGCACACTTAGCATAGTGCTGAGTCTCAGGATAACAGTACAAATACTACCACCAAATACATGATTATTAAAAAACAAGTTAAAACATGTTTTAGCTTCATGTTTTCATTTAATCTCTTCCTCATCTCCACCCTTTTCTTTGTTCTCTCTGAACATAGAGCTGCTATGTTTCAAGTTCACAAAAAAAAAAAAACACCTGATCTTCTGCAGGGATGGAGGCAAGAAGTCACCTGAGGGGAACCTGGTGTTAACAGTTCCTAGTATATATGTACAATTAGTGATCTGTTTTCAGTCCCACCTCTCAACCCAGGTACCTGGGACCTTTGATTCCTGAGTCTTTCTGGGCTTCAGCAGCTTCTGCAAGACCTAAGGTTCGTCTACTCAGCTAAATCATCCATCCACTTTCTGTCTTCTAAAAAGGACCTGACATCTCTGGTGAGTAGTCATCTCCTCTCCCATTCTCTGTGGGCTTAGACATTTTTTACTCCTTTTCTATTACTTTAGTAGTGTTTCAGGAGAGAGCAGCAATAACTGCCTGTTTCTATGTTTCATGTAAACATTTTCCATACCAGGCATGAAGGGATGGTATAGTGAAATGATTAAAAGCACACATTCTGTAGCCACGGTGTTAAGGTTCAAATCCCTAGTCCTTCCACTTGCTAGCTGTGTAACCTCAGGCTTTCTGTGCTTAGACTTCTCATTTATAAAATGGGGATAATAGTGGTTAGTACCTATCACAAAATTATGTGTGCGTGGCATGGGGCTGGGCACTTATTAAGCACGCCAAAGGCTTAAAAATGTTATTCAAGAAAGGGTGCTGGGTTCCTTAGTTGGAAAGGTCAAAATGATGTAGATTAGTTCTGCCTAAAGCTAAAGGAGAACAATGATTTTCAAGTCATCTTGCCTTGAAGTCGACTGTATTTTCCTCAGGGTTTAGACGTTCTGAATATTGCAGTTTCGCTTTTTCCCTGCAGGTGGCGGACTTCATCACCAAAACGTCACACAGCTGACCCTGAGGAGAAAACCCCTCTATCTTTGTTTCATTGGCTCTATCATCAATACAACAAATATTTACTGAGCATCAGCTATGTGCCAGGAACCAGGGAAACAGCAATGGTCAAGCACACACTGTCATTGCTTTCTTAGAACTTAACAGTTGGTAACAGACCTGGAACTTAATTCAAAGAAGCTAAGAGGACCTCCCCACACACCCTCAAAGAAGACCTTCCATACAAATGTTCTAGTATGAGGCACAAGTCCTAACTGGAGTCCTTACTCAAAACCAGAATGCCCTCTTGAGCAAAAATGACCCTGTAAAGATCATTACTTAATACCAGTAATTTTTCAGGCTCACTTGCACTTAAAAGGAGGTTTTCATAAGCTCCACATTCAAGGAAAAGGGTTGGGGAGGCTAAGGGGCAGTGCAGAAATCGGGTGTTGCAAAGGATGGACAGGAATTTAGGAATTATAGGCCAAAAATTAATCGCAAAATGTCCCCCAAATTTTTAAGCTAAACATCTCCTTTTGAAAAAATATTGCCCGAAATTTTGCTATAAAACCAAGAGAGGACAGTACAATTCTTTCAGTGTCATCTAGGACATTGTTTAACAAGTCCACTGAAGGGTTAATTTTCTAGCAGGGACTGGCAAACTTTTTCTGTAAAGGTCCAGATAGTAAATATTTTAGGCTTTAAGGTTGGCCCTATGCTCTCTGTCAACTATTCAATTCTGTTGTTTTAGTACTCTGTTATTGTAGAGCGATGCAGACAATGTGTAAACAAATGGGTGTGGCTGTGTTCCAATAAAACTTTATTTAAAATGCCAACAGTAGGGCCAGATTTGGCCCTCTGGTCATATGTGTAGGCCAAGGAATTTACCTTTGTTTGCCCATATATTTACTGTTAATAATGGCTCAGATTACCAGGTCAGTGTAGCTCAGTGGTTGAGCGTTGACCCATTCATCAAGAGGTCACCAGTTTGATTCTCAGTCAGGACACATGCCCAGGTTGTGGGCCAGATCCTCAGTGGGAGGCATGCAGGAGGCGGCCAGTTGATGTTCTCTCTTACTGATGTTTCCATCTCTCCCTCTCCCTTCCTCCCTCTCTAAAATCAATAAAGAAAAAATATATATTTTTTTTTTTGGTACGTGCCCCTAGCGGGAACTGAACCCAGGACTCTCTGGTCTGCAGGTTGACGCTCCAACCACTAAGCCAAACCGGCCAGGGCCAAAAAATTTTTTAAATAATAATGTCTCAGGTTTTTGTCTGGTAGTGTTTCAAATTACTTATCTCCAGTACATAAGAGAATCCAGAAACTTATAGTTTTTATTATCCTGTGGAGATGAACCAGTTTTATATCTAATTTTCCAACTTCCTTGGAATGCTTTCTGAATCAGCTTTACCATCTTACTGTTTTCAACAAGTTGAATACTTTTTTTTTTTTTTGGAGTACAGGCCCCTAGCAGGAACTGAACCCAGGACTCTCTGGTCCGCAGGCCAATGCTCCAACCACTGAGCCAAACTGGCTAGGGCAAAATTAATCAGTTGTTTTTTTTTGGTATGTGCCCCTAGCGGGAACCGAACCCAGGACTCTCTGGTCCGCAGGCCGATGCTCCAACTGCTGGGCCAAACTGGCCAGGGCTGAATACATTTTTGACAAGTGTTCATTCTTTATCAAAATGAGTTCTGTTTTGACTTTGTGTGTTTGTTGATAATCCTCACCCAAAGATATTTTTCCATTGATTTTTAGATAGAGTGGAAGGGAGGGAGGGAGAGAGAAATATCAATGCAAGAAAGACACATTGATTGCTTGCCTCCCGCACAACCCCAAACAGGGCCCAGGATTGAACCTGCAACCCAGGTACGTGCCCTTGACTGAGTATCGAACTCAAAACTCTTTCAGTCCTCGGGCCAACGCTCTAATCACTGAGCCAAACCAGCCAGGGCGAAGCATATTTTTAAAAACAACCTTGTTCCTCCCTGATTTCCAGAGCAAACCTGTTTCCCAGAGACAAAGTCTTCCAGGCATAGCTTCATTAACTGCCTTCTTAGTTTTGAGGTTTTCATTAGTTTTCTCTAACTTAACCCCCCCCCACACACACACACACAAAAGTTTCTCCTATATGATAAGGGCCCTGTTCCTTTCATTTATTTTCATTAATAAAATATACCCCCATTCTATGGGTAAAGTCAGAGTCTGGGCTTCCCAAATGTAAAGCCATGATCAAGGCTTATGTAATTAATGAATCAGAGCCCACCTGGGATCTCAGTGGTAAAGTGAGCCTTACCAGCCTGTGACAAGCCACAAGGAGTGGAGATCAGCCCCTCCATGGGTCCTGCTCATGGCCCCAAATGAAACTCAAAACAACCTACAGAACAGATTTAGGACTGCTAACTTTGAGGCATCCACCCACACCGCGTTCACACTGTAAGAAGTCTAAAATCTCACAAATGAGCTCTGTCAAATGTGAATTATTTAATTGCCTTTGCAGTATAAAGTCCAGCCTAAAGCTTTGCTGAAAGATGTTCTACAAGAAGCAAAAACCTTCTGCCTAAACATTTGTAAGCTAAAGCTCTGCCCTCTTTAAGGTAAGCCTTCCCTGGGCCAGAAAGATTCCTCCCTGCCCCAATAACCTAATCCCTGTTCCAGCTGCCTGCCGAGGTCAAACTGTACTCACACAGGTGAGGTCAAGGCCTGCCCTCGAGGCCCTTGTACTCAGGCCTCTGCCAGTTAAAATCCTGCTGAATAACTAGCTGTTACAGATTGCTCAGGTCAAGAACCCACTTGACCCACAATTACCTTTAAGCCTAGAGCCCTGACTGCATCAGAAACCTGATCTCCGTGTGTTACGTTAGCCCCCAAATGTCAGTCCTCACGTCTGCCTCTCAAAGTTTTCCGAAGAGCAAATTAACATGTTGGGGGCTTATCGGGGTAATAATTAATTACATCCTTCCCAGCCTTTCCAAATTCTAATCCACTGAGAAGTAGATGTATGGATCAGGCAGCTGGAGCTTAAAAGTCTCAGCTTTAGCCATGGCTGGTTTGGCTCAGCGGTTAGAGCATCAGCCCATGGACCAGAGAGTCCTGGGTTCGGTTCCCGCTAAGGGCACATACCTCAGTTGCAGTTCGTCCCCCACCACAGTTGGGGTCCTGTGGGTGGCAACCAATCGATGTGTCTCTCTCACATCAATGTTTCTCTCTCTTCCTCCCTCTCGCCCTCCCGCTCTATCTGAAGATAAATGCAAAATTGTCCTTGGGTGAGGATAAAAAAAAATAAGTCTCAGCTTTATTGATAAAGCTGTCTGGAGAACATGACTCAGTTCCCTCTGAATCACACTGAGTCACCCAATCACAGGCTGGGTGACTGCAAGCCTCCTCCACAGGGACAGACTCTCCACAGGGGAGGAAGAGACATTAGTATCCAAAGGTCAGGCCACAGCAAGAAATAAAAAACAGAAAGGGACTGGGCAACAGGCTTAGCATCTTTCCTCAAAGGCACCAACCAGACAAAGTACTCCTCATTTCATGAAAGCATGAAAAGAAGTTAGAAGTTTTCCTTCAGCAGTTTTTCTACCGAGGAGTGGAAGTTCCCTCTTATCCATGTAAATAAGCGAAGGACAAGTTCCCTTCTAACAGCTGCCTTTGGGTTGGGTACTTACTCTTGATTCAATAATTGTAGCCATGGTACCCAGATCACATGATGTGTCTTGTCAGGATTCACTGCATTGTAAGCCAAATTCAAAGCAACTCAAGCAAAATAGGGAATTAATAGGAGTTCAGGGACTGCTCAGTCAGATAAAGCTGGATGCAGGGGTCTGAATCATATCACCAAGCCTCTATTTCTTACCATCTGTAGGCTCTGCATCTCTCTGTATTGCCTTCATTCCCAGGCTGGCTCTAAGTATTGTCACAGATGGCCATAAGCTGCTCTAAGCTTGCATTCTACCAGCTTACAAACCCTAATGAGAATTTCTCTTAATATTTTCAGCAAAATCACATAATGGAGTTTCACTGGCCCAACTTGGGTCATGTGCCTTCTCTCTGGACAAATCACTGTAACTAAGAGAATGCCATACTCTGATTCATCGGACCTGGGTCATGTGTCCAGCTCTGGTTCAGTTCCACTCAACATGCATGAACCAAGGGGGTGTGGGATTATTCATTCCTTTGAGGAAAATTAAAATACTGTTATCAGAGAATGGGGAAAATGGATTCTAGGTGAGGGAAAACATACCATTTGCATATGATGCAAAACAAGATAAGTTCAATGGAGAGAACAGCTTGTGGCTAGTTCCTTCAAAATGGCTTTGCAGGGCCTGGCCGTTGTAGCTCAGTAGTTGAGCGTCCACCCCTGCACCAAGAGGTCACCAGTTCGATTCCCAATCAGGGCACATGCCCAGGTTGTGGGTCCAATCCCCAGTGGGGGGCATGCAGGAGGCAGCCAATTGATGTTCTCTCTCATTGATATTTCTCTCTCTCCCTCTCTCTTCCTCTCTCTCTAAATATCAATAAAGAAAAAAAAAATTTTTAAAGGGCTTTGCAGGGCAGTCACCAAGAGTATCTAGATACCTCTCTTGCCCTGGCCAGTTTGGCTCAGTGGTTAGAGCGTCAGCCTGCAGTCCAGAGAGACCCAGGTTCGGTTCCCGCTAAGGGCACGTACCTCGGTTGCAGTTTGTCCCCGGCCCTGGTTGGTCGTATGGGTGGCAGCCACTGGATGTGTCCCTTTCACGTCGATGTTTCTCTCTCTCTCTCCCTCCCTCCCTCCCTCCCACTCTATCTGAACAAAAAATGGAAAAATGTCCTCGGGTGAGGATTAAAAAAAAAATAAAAAATAGATACCTCTCCAGTTAAGCCCAGCTCCACCCATTTTCTATGAGATGAACGCACTCTTTACCACCTTTCCTCAACTGTAAAATAAGATGCTTGTTCTATGTGATCTCTAAGGTTCTTTTATCCAACAACATTCACTTATTAGGTATTTATTTAGCACTTACTATTTACCAGGCACTATTCTGGACTCTTGAGCTACAGTAGTTAATAAAACAGACAAAATCCCTTGCTCTCATGGAACTTACATTTCAGTCAGGGAGGAGCCAAACAATAAACAAAATAAATAATTCCTATGTGCTATGAAGAAAAATGCAAATGCCCTGGCTGATGTGGCTCAGCAGTTAGAGTATTGGCCCGCGGAACAAGGAGTCACAGGTTCAATTCTGGTCAAGGGCACATACCTCGGTTGTGGTTTGATCCCCGGCCCTGGTTGGTGTTGTTCAGGAGGCAACCAATCGATGTGTCTCTCTCACATCGATGTTTCTCTCTCTCTCCCTCCCTCCCTCCTACTCTATCTGAGAAAAAAAGAAAAAAAAAAAAGAATGAGAAAAATACAGATGAGCCCTGGCCGGTTTGGCTCAGCGGTTAGAGCGTCGGCCTTCGGTCCTGAGAGACCTGGGTTCGGTTCCCGCTAAGGGCGCGTACCTTGGTTGCAGTTTGTCCCCGGCCCTGGTCGGTTGTGCGGGTGGCAGCCACTCGATGTGTCCCTTTCACATCGATGTTTCTCTCTCTCTCTCTGTTCCTCTCTCTTCCCCCAACTCTACCTGAACAAAAAATGGAAAAATGTCCTCGGGTGAGGATAAAAACAAAACAAAACAAAACAAAACAAAACAAAACAAAACAAAAAAATACAGATGAGACTGTTGGGTGGTTGTGTGTTTAAATAGATGGTCAGAGCAGATGAAGAGGTGAAGCACGTGGTAAGTGCTCAATTTATGGTATCTACTGTTCTCATTCATTATTATTCTCATTATCACTATTATTATTTTATTATACTTTATAATATTATTTATTATTTTATTATTCTTACTGGCATATTAAAAACATTTGGTGACCCCACTCCCACCCTTGGTGTCT